CAAAATTATATGCATTTACTTTTACTTATAAAAAGGTCAAAATAGAGTAAACCTTACTCTGATATTTTTGTTTATACTAAAAGATTGGCTTTTTTAATAAAAAACAAGCAAACTGGGAATGTGTTTTAATTTGTTTTTGTTAACTTCATGTCCAATAGTTCATCTTTAGTCCAATAACCTAGTATTATTATAGTATATTGTATATAAAATTATTTAAAGTATATTGCACATAAAATAGTATATTGCACATAAAATTATTTAAAATGCCATTTGAGATTAAAAAATACTAGGTATGTTATTTACAACAAGTAAAATAATAAAAAAACCAAATAAATAAAACCATTTTAAATTAAAAACCATTTGATGATTTTTTTAGTGATGTTAAATTAATACTTTGCAGTAGCAAAACAAGAAACAAAAAAAACAATTAAATAGTTTTAATTTAAAAATTTCTTTGTTTAGGAATTCATTATTTATTTTTGTGTTGATTTTATTTTTTTTGACAATAAAAACTGTAATATTTCTTTAACACAGAATTATTGTTTAACGTATATATACATATATATATATATATATATATATATATATATATATATATATATATATATATATATATATATATATATATATATATATATATATATATATATATATATATATATATATATATATATATATATATATATATATATATATATATATATATATATATATATATGTATATATATATATATATATATATATATATATATATATATATATATATATATATATATATATATATATATAAATTATTACTTTGAAGTAGCTAATATAAGAAATGAACATAACAATTAAAAAGTTTCACAATAAAAAAAAAAAATTTCAAGGATTTATTTTTAATTTTATTGTTGTTTAATTTTATTGTTGTTGTTTTTAATTAAAATTTTAAACCATAAAAATTGTTTAAAGATTTAAATTCAGCATACAAAATACATTTTTTTTTTTATAATTTATACAAATAAAAACAATATATAAAAATAATAATTTAAACAATTTTTAGAAATTATTGATTACTTTATTTTAAACTTTTGTGTGATATTTTTGTTTTATTTTAAATGTTATTAAAAATGTTAATAAAAACAATTTTTGCTCTTTAAGAGTTTTTTCAGAGTAGGAAAATGGTAATATTTTTTTCATTCACTGTTTTTTTTTCTCACAAGGTGAGAAAGAATTTTACATGTTAAAGGCAATTTAAAGAAACTTGAATAAAATAAAAAAATTTTAGTTAACTGTTAAAAGCTTTATAAAAGTGAACCTAAGTCATTAATATTGTTCGTATTCAATTTTTATAAAATATTTAATGATGATTTTATTTTAGTAATAATTTTTGTTTACATAATATGTAAACAAAAATTATTACAAAAAAAATGTATATATGAAAAAAGTAATATATGATATATACTTTTTATATATATGAGATTTTACATATATGAGATTTTCATTAGATAATATAGATATAAAATATAGAAATAAAAACATTTAGCATACAAAATGTACATTTATACAAATAAAAACAATATATAAAAATAATAATCTACAACAGCAATACGCTGCTGAAAACCAAACTGAAAAATAAACTCCGACTAAAAAAACTTTTTTTAAAAAATTGTGCAGAATAAATAAGTTAGCAAATAAAAATTATTAATCTTTTCAGTTCTTTTTAATTATTTTCAATACTAAATACTGATAAAATTGTTGCTTACAATCTGATAAAATAGTTTCAGGGTAAAATAGTTATTATTTCTTTTTAGAGTATGTTACTTTGATTATTTCCTTGCAGAGTATGTAATGCAATATCTGCAAAGTTAGGAGACTATATTACAATATTCTGCATAACTATGGCTTTTTAAAGATAAATGATATAAAAAACCCTCATTAGTACCAGACATTTAGTAAAAACAATTAAGACTTAATTCAAAACTAAAATCAAGTCATTATTGCTCAAGACCAATACATCACAAAGTCAAGCCAAGACCAAGAAGAAGACTTTAAAATTTTTACAAGACCAAGATGAATACCTAAATTCTTAGATGTTCACACAATAAGACTAATGCTCATGCATGTATACTATTAGGTTATTAGCTAAAGTATAACTATTATTTATACACTATAATAAAACATAATTACACATGTACAATATAACTATATAATATGTATAATATAACTATATAATATATATATATATATATATATATATATATATATAAATATACAAATATATATAATAAATAATATGATATAATATATAAATAATGCATGTATAATATAATTATGTTATCGCAATTAAAGAAAAAAATATATATTTAATAATAACAAAAAAAAACAGCTTTCTTGTATTGTTAAAAACAAAATATGATATCAATAAAAAAGTGAAAAAATATGCGTATTTATTACTGTGAAACTAACAATAGCTTTTGTAACTATAGCAGCCACATATCATAGTACCAGAGAAAAAAAAAATTAAAGTTTACATATTAACGTATTTTATTTAAGTACTATATGTAAGAAGTAAAGCAGACAACTTATACACTTAATATAACACATTAATCTTAGTAGTAATAACCTTTTATTAATTACTAATCCATTAATTTACCATTATACTAATTAATTAATTAATACAAGAGAGTACAATTCCAAGACCATAACTTTAGATTTTCAAGACTAAAACCGTTAAACATAAGTTTAGAGTCGATTTAAGACTAAGACTGAAGTCTCCAGACCTACATCTCAGAAAGGTACCCGCATTTCTTTAGTAAACCCTATTCTTTGATTTGATAAGTCATTGGTTAACAGAACATTGAGTTAAATGTTTAGAACCTTGTTCTTCTCCTTATTACCTTTTGCTAATCAGATTAAAAAAGATTTTTTAAAATTTACTTCTTAAAGGTTATTCTCAAATTTTATGTCTGTTTTTATTTGAATTCTTATTGCTTTTTCAAATTCAAATTATAAAATTAAATTATATAAAAACAGTATCACACACTTGACTTTACCAGATAGCAGTATTAATGGGTATGACAAGCTCAAGTGAGGTTAGTGAGAAAAGCTTAGCACATTTCTAAATCTCTTCTCTAATAAATGTTTGTCATGACAGCTCCTCTTGAGAGACTGTAGCAAAACAGAACTTTTGCTGTGCTAGCCTTAAAAAATTTATAACAAGCCAAAAGCCAATAAGAAGTCAAATAATAACAGACAAAAAACATAAGAATAACCATTAAGAAGTAACTTAAGAAACGTTTTTTAATTTTACTAGCAATAGATCCTTGGGAGAAGTACAAGGTTCTAAATATTTAACTCAATGTTTTGTAAACTTATCAAATCACAATGCCAATCATGTTAAAGTTGTTACAAAAAAATCATTAGAACCATAAAGTTCACAGATAGTGCACTCAACATTACTACTTTTAAATTACTTTGAGTGAATGCAAAAGCCAGCAATAAAAACTTGTCAAAAACATTCTTCTGTAATAAAAATTTGCTCATTCATCCTTAGAAGTCACAGTCGGCAGTTTAACACAGCCATAGAATATTTTATAGAAGAATTTTACAAATAGTGCTAAATCTCTTTGTTAAGAAGTGCATAAAATGCAAAAAAAAAATATCTTCATTTTAAAATGTTAAGTCAATGTTGTATTTATATTGTTGAAAATTTTTATTTTTCACTATATATGTCCACGCAGAAGTATTTTATTTTAGACAACTTGGTCATGGCCATTAGCAAGTTTTTTATGTGTTGCAGAAAAAAAAAAACTTGGATCTCTAAAAGTGTTTTTAGTGTTTACAAAATGTCTATTATTTTAAAAGTGAAAAAAAACTTGCAAAAAAAAAAAATTAATTTTAAAAAACAAAATTTTTTGGAATTTTGAATTTGCTGTTTGTTTAAAAGGCATCCTTTTCAAAATAATCTCAAACTTTATTAAGTTCTAGTTATACAAATTTTTCATTATAAATTCAGTAGCACATATGCATATATATAAACTTTATTAATGTGTATTTTTTATTTGCAATAAAGTTTACAATGTTAAAATTATCATAAAATAAATATAAATACAAAAAAAAAAAAATTTTTATAAATAACATTAACCTAGTCATTTGATTAGAAAAAAACACTTTTTTTTCTTAAAATATACATCATATATATAGTGTCACTATGATATTTTTTTTTCTGAGAAGGTGTGAAGTTTAAAGTTGTTTTAAAGTTGTTTCAATTAAAGAAAAGAATTTAAGTTAATTGTTAAAAGCCATATAAAAGTGAACTCAATACATAAATTTTTCTTGTGAACAATATTTATGAAATATTTCATACATGTCTCAAAATCAAAATATTGTAATAAAGTCTATACAACCATTTTTATAATATTTTATTTATAATAATAAAAAAGACATTTGGTTCACAAAAAAACATTCATTTTTTATTACTTATGCAAACTTAAAAATTTTTAAATTATGGTTTGTTTCCTGAAAAAAAATCTTTTTATCAACTCTAATTCAAAAATAAAAACTAAAAATTAACATAAAAACAAAAACTAAAAATAAACATAAAAATAAAAAACAAAAATAAACAAAAATAAATTTTAAAATGACCACATTCAGCAATAGAAAAGAAAAAAATGAAGATACAATGAACTTAATTTTTTTTTAATTTAGATAAAGAATATTTTTTTAAATTTCTTTAGAAAACATGCCTGACATTCTTAAACATACCGTTTATGTTTAAAATAATATCTTATATAATTCAAATAACAAAAATGTTAAACAATTAAAACTATAAATTATCAAAAATTATCAAAAATACCTTATTTACATTAAAAAATCTACTATTAACAAAAATACCTTATATAATTAAAATTTAAGTAAAAAGTTCTTTATTTTTTGTACATAATTGAACAACTTTTGTACCTGATTGAACAACAATCTTAAATAGCCTCACAATAACACAAGAAAATTTTAGAACTTACCCAAAACAGAATACAAAATTAAAGATTCTTCATGGGATTTTTTTGAAGGATTCAGGTTACCAAGAAACATTATTAAACTGTTTTGGTTTTTATTGGCTAATCCACAAATCATTGATAAACAACTCTTCAGCTTCTCATTGACCATAATCTCATAACTACTTAAATAATTGTATGCATACACAGATGCACAAAACTCCATTATTGTCAAATGTGCAAATTGATAATAACTACCAAGGTCTGTTTCAATCTTTTCTATAAATCCAAAATACTTATCTTCATTTTTATCCAAGTCACCTATAAAAGCATGAATTTCTTTTTTGGAAAAAACTATTTTATTGTTCACAAACATTTTATATGCAATTTTACAAATATTTAAAATATATTTTTTATTGGAGCTGTCTTCTATAATCTCATATACGAATTTGTTGTTTTTAAAAATGTGTTTTCGTATAAAGTACAAAAAAATATTTGCATACAAATCTGTCATTGTTAAAAAAGAATTTAAACCCATATCTTTTGAATCATTTATGATTTTACACATGGAAGATAAATAAAAAGGAACAGATGCCATTGCTTTTGCAATTGGAGATTCCTTTAAAATTGTTTTTATAACTTTTTTTTTTTCTTCCATAACATGGTTTTCTACATAATTATTAATTCCATTTTCATTAAACCCCATTATTTGAACAGTCAACTTATCACTATATTCTGTAGATATACTTTGGTATTGATCTATTGCATAAACTCTACCAGCAATTACATGATTGTACTTTAGAATTTCTGCTAAAACATTAACAATCGGGTAGTTACAAGTCAAACTTGGATTTAATAACTCGTTGAAATAATGAAACTCATCTAATCCATCAATTATAAACAGTGCAGTATGACTGCTTATGTTAAAGTTTACAATATCTTTGTAGAAAACATTTAGTAATTCATTTATATTTGAAATATTTGAATATTGATTAAGTCTCCTGCATTCCAAATAAAAAACAAGTTCAATATTTTTCCAAATTAATCCATTTGACCAATCAAGCAAACATTTTCTAAGCAACCATGTTTTCCCAATACCAGCTATTCCAGATATTAATAAGACTGATTTTTCTTTCGTAAATATTTCACTATATTGTATTGGTGTATAATTCATTTGTTTTTCAAGGAATTTATTTCGTTCAACACTTAAAACAGCAGCCTTTGAGCGTTCCACTTGAGCATTCACTGCATCAACAATACATAGATCAACAAATTTTTGATTTAAATCAACATCTACAGATGATTTTATTAGTAGTTGATGTTCATTAATTTTCCAATAATATTTAAAATAATACTTTTTTAATTCCGCAGACGACCTTGACAAATCTAATTTAAAAAAAAAAACAAAAAACATCTGGTTAAACCATTACCATGATTTTGACATACATACATATACATATATATATATATATATATATATATATATATATATATATATATATATATATATATATATATATATATATATATATATATATATATATATATATATATATATATATATATATATATATATATGTTCATTAATTTTCAAATAATATTTTTGATAATACTTTTTCAATATATACTATGAAAACATGGATGTAAACATGCTAAAATATATATATATATAGCGAGGAACAATTACACAGTATATACTTCAGCATGTTAGGATAACCTAACCTGACACTATAAATAGTATATATAACTGTATATACTTCAGCATGTTAGGATAACCTAACCTGTCACTATATATAGATATATGCAGTTATTAAATTTATTGATTTATTTATTCAACCCTCTCTTAACTCTTTAATTCCGAAACACGAACCTTGATAAACAAGATGGCTACGCGGAGAAATTAAGTTGAACTCGATATTTCCAGGGAAGTGGTGGGAGTCGAATTCCGAGCCTCTCGCATACAAAATGAGCGCTCTTACCACTACAACACTGCCGCATATTGACCCGAGCTCCAAAATTTAGGATGTATAAAATGTTATAAAAGATTTTTTTTTAGACATTTTAGCCTCTAACACATTAAAAAAAAAATCCAAAAACATTAATAGCCCCAGACCCCAAAAAGTATTAATCTGACACTGCCAACATTTTTTTTTAAATTTATTAAGGTGCTCCAAGCAGACCTAATGGCTTCTTGGAGCACCTTAACAGTACACTGCCACAAGAAGATTTAATAAGTGACTTATTAAATGGCCTAAAATAGCTCTCTGTTTCCAATTTCACCAAAAATGTTTGCTTTGAGCACATCTATAATAATAGACGTGTAGTAATATCTATAATAATAATAAATGTGCTTTATCTATAATAATAATAAATGTGCTTTATCTATAATAATAATAAATGTGCTTTATCTATAATAATAATAAATTTGCTTTGAGCACATCTATAATAATAGATGTATAATAATATCTATAATAATAACAAATATGCTTTGAGCTCATCTATAATAATAGACGTTCAAACTTACTTTATATAATTGTCATCATAAATGACAATTAATGCTTTTAACATTTTGAAATTATGAAAATAAACTTTTTTTTTTTAATCAATAAATGTGAAAATAAAGAGCTTAATGTTGGCTTTTAATTTGAATTATCGACTTTCTTTTTCTTTTTGGTAAAGGATTATTTTCAATATCTATGATATTATTGCTGTTAGATTGAACATTACCATTAATTGGACAAACTGAAAACTGCGACTTGATTGTATTGTCGTTGTAGTCAAAATCTCTGATAGACAGATTATCTTTTCTGCGACCAATTGGACATTGTCTTTCAAAATAGTTTTTAAGGTCATCTTGGCAGAACCTCTCAGAAAAAACAAATTGAACTTCTTTAAATGAATTGCACTGTAATTTGCAAACCTTCATAAGTTTGTGAAGAAATAAACATTTTTGATTTTGAGCTTTCATCAAAATTTCCTTGTTGTTGATCTATAGATTCTTTCCACAATTTAAAGTATAGGAGAAAGTTATCTAACCAAGTAAATCGTGAATCATCTACTATTTCATATGGTTTTAAAAATGGCTTTCTTTTTGTTAAATATTCAGCACTAATTTTTACATTTAGACAATCAAAAAACATATCCATCATTAAACAAAATTACTGCTGTTCCACCAAAAACTGCTGTTCCAGCAGCTTTTGGTGGTCCAAACTGCTTTAAAACATTTCCGACTGTTTCACTGTAAAGTGAAGCTCACTTTACAGTGAAACAGTCACTGTAAAGTGAGCTTCACTTTACAGTGACTGCTTCACTAAAGATTAAAAAAATCAATTCGTTTTTTCAAAGAATCATAAATGAATCTGTCTCTAGTATCTACGTTAATAAGGTCATTATTCCATTTCTTATTTGCATCATTAGTTGGAATAGGAACTTTGAAAATGTTGATACCTTTGTGCCTTCTTGAGGTTGAACAACCAAATATTGCACAATTTTCACCAGGCATATCAAAAAAATTTATTTCAATCAAAACACAAATACAACTTAGTAAAATAACAGGCAAACGCTAGCAACAACAATCTTTTTGTGCAGGTTATGCGGTAGTGGTGTAGTGGTAGAGCGCTCGCTTCATAAACGAGTGGTTCCGAGTTCGATCCCCACCACGCCCCTGGTAGTACCGCGCTCAACTCGTTTCTCTGCGCAGCGGCCTTGTTTGTCAAGGTTCGTGTTTCGGAGTTATAGAGTTGAGAGAGGGTTATAGCCACAAAATAAGTAGCCTCCTCGTCTGTAGTGGCCTTCTCGGCCTTGAGGAGGTGAAGTAAAATAAAAAAAAAAAAAAAAAAAAAAAGGTTCAGAAGGCCGGAAACAAGAAAAAACAGTATGAAAGAGTTAAAACAATACCCTATTGTTCGCTTCCAAACTATTCTTTCTTGTAACTATGATTACAATAAGGTATTTTAAAATATGCAACTGACACAATTAAAATTTTAACTATGTAAATATCTTTATTGAGTAAAGTTACATTTATTAGCCTGACACTTTTTTGTTATGTAACAAAATCTCATAACTTGTTATGTTAAGCCTGGACTTACACCAGGACTTACACCTGGACATTACACCTATACACCCAAATGAAGATGCAGCTGTTACATTGTTTTGCATGTTTGCTGTTTTGTTTTTATAGATAAACTATAAAAAGTTTAGTTTGAAAACTATATAGTTTGTTTGAACTCATCCATATTTAAACAAATTTTTTTTTTTAATAGTACGAAGTTAGAATGTAGATATAGATTTGTATGTTACATATAAGTGGTTATCATGTGTGATTGAGATTCGATTTTAGAGTTCATAAATATATATAAAAGCAATAAAAGTACTAACAGCTTTTGACATGCTTTGTTCATGTATTTTTTTTGTGTTATTTTGTTATGGTCTCAAAATGACGCTAATTCCGGCCATAGAGGGAATTTTACCTTTTGGAAATTTCGATTTCGTCTCAAAGATACTTTTCATAAAACTATATTTTTAAACAATATTTTTCCCTACTTTTTACATCATTTTTATATCAATATTATATCACCTAAAAAGATTTTTTTGTTCAATCATTTATTAGGTTTACTCTTATTACAGTACTAAGTTAGTCTTTTTACAGTATTTATTAATATATTATTTATCTGCTGCTTTTCATATCATTATTATTATTGAGGAGTTTTTATGTTATATTTTCTTACATTCATTACTCAGCTTTTTTTAAATTTTTACATGCACAATTTTTCTTTTTTAAGTATTATTCAGAGAATTTCTTATACCCTTTACTACATGTTTACATTTTTGTGGGTGACATTTTTAATGATTTTTGTGCCAAAGTTTTTGGCTATCATTGATATTTAATTATTCTAATGGTTTTGGGTTGCGCAAGTTACTCATTTCTTATTCTTTATGATTGGTTAGCATAAATTGAATGAGGTATCTATGACAGCATTAGAGTTTATAACTTTAATTTATTGTGCTTTCATGCTTTCTTTTGGTGGTATGGTAAGTGATTTAATTAGTTATTTTTATTTATTTTGTTTAGATCTACACTTTTAATATCATCAAAAAAATATTGATTCTTTACAAATTTATAAATGAATTTTGGCTGTTTTAAGGAGTCTGTTTTTACTGCAATATGGAACAGGCGTAAGTTGCAGGCGGTAAAGCATAATTGGAATTGATTTGTCTGACAGGATAAACTAATAATTAGTGCTGACCGTCATCGAAGTGCCAATAATAACAGACGCAACTCCAAGGAGATGTTTATTCCTTAATTGCTACACATATTATGTTTACACATTATCGTTAATGTTTTTTCTCAAATGAGGCTTTACTATTTATATGCATAATTTTGGTCAATATTTTGTTTTGCATGTTAATAATATATTTGATAAGTTTTTTTGCTCATTTTAATTTTTTATAAAAAAATATTTGTTTTTTCAATATTGTAAGTTTTGCTTAGGTGTATTCCATGTCTTTTTATATGTCCATGTATAGATGTGCATCATATGAGCACTTTTTAAAATATTTTTCTATAGTTATTTAATATTATCTTGTCAAAAAAGGTATGTTCAAAAAATAATTATCCTCTATTCTAATGTACTTCATTTTTCCCATAGCCGTTCACTGCTATTGTGTGACCATTCGAAAAATTCATATGCCAATGTTTTTAAGCAAAAAGATAGATAACTTCATAGATTGCTCAATATTAATTTAACTTATTAAAGGACTATTAATTTGACTTAATATAATTTTTTTCACATTAAGTTCCCATTTAGTTCTATCATTCAGTTAAAAAAATATAAAAATAAAGTTACCTTATAACTTTTCAGATTTATAATTACCTTATAACTTTTCCTTATAACTTTTCACTTTGTCTTAAATAATTTATATAAACTACATTTAATTTTTTAACTTTGAAAAGATTGCTTGTTGGTTGTTATAGTTACCCTTGTTAATTAAGGCAATATTACCTAGGCTAGCTATAACAACCAACAAGCATATAACATTGTAGCATAGAGTCTATGACCTGATGTCTACAAGTTTGTTTTGATATATTACGAAAACTTATGGTAAAAAATAACTTCTTAACATACACACTTTTAAGGAAAACTAAGGGTAAGGAATTAGAAACATACAAAATCATGTTGTTGTTTCTTTCATATTTAAAAATATTCCTTTAAACATAGTCCTAATCAGCTTTCTCAAAATTTAGGTTGAAAAGCAACTTCTTTAGAGTTAGTAGGTTCACATGGAACATGTAAGCTAGTTCTGTAAAACATCAGTAAAAATTTTCGTTTTGTAAAAACCTAAATGTCTAAACTTTTTAAAAATAAAAGGTTTTTATAATTAAAAAGTAATTAACAGACTAAAAAACGTTGTAGCATCAGAAAAAAATTGATGATCTAATTGTTCTATTTTAATAACTTATAGTTATAGTAAATTTATTATCTAATAAAATAACTCTTAACATGCCCCACCTTAATGGAGACCTAAGGGTAAAAATTGCACACATGCAAAATCATGTTGAATGTACTATTTAAAGAATTTACATATTTAAAAAATTTACATACAATGTTACATACAAAATACATGTTTGTTAAATATAGCTGTATATAATTGAACAAAATACTGGTTATTATATTTAAATAAATTAACTTTAATAATTACTTTTTTTAGCAGAAAAACTGGCAGATATTTCTGGTGAATCTAAAGTTTCTAAAGAATCTATTAAAGTTATTACTTCTAACAAACAAAAACTTTCACATTTAATAAAACTTTATAAAGCTAAATAAATATATCTGTAATTTGTCCTGTGTCTTTTTTCTTTTAAAAATTAAAAAATCATTAATAATAACTTGTATATAGTTGTATAAATTTCAAAACATGTAGTAATTTAATATACTGATATCCGAAGTGTGCATGATCTAGATCTTTTATTTATAAACATCAATAACACAGGATGAGCACTAAAAGTTCTAAGAATATTTCAAAAACATAAATTTTTATTAAGGATAAATATATTTTTATAAAAATTTAACCAACACTAATACATTGTGAACATTATCACGTTATTGACTAAGATTCATTGATTAAAAAATCAAACCATGTATTAAAAGATGAATTAAGTAACAAGAATCTAAAAACTTAAGTATAAAATCAAAAAAGTTAATGCATTTTCTATTTGACAATTTGACAGTTGATTAATTCAATTTGGCAATTTGACAGTTGATTGTACAAAGCCAACAAAAAAATAGTTTAGCTTCTTTGAAATTGAATACAAAAATGATAATTGATATTATGTACTCTGGCAAGTAACCAAATTAGCTATTATTCCAAGGAAAAAATGGTCTGCCTAATATTATGTAATTCCTAAACACAAAACACCTTTAATAAATTAAAGCTTTCACACACAATACTTTTATGAAAATAGTTAAAGATTTTAAACTAAGGAGCAATATAATTAACATGACAATTTAGCTACTTTCTTTTTTTTTCCATTAACAAAAAACTTTAATATTTTCTTTTTGAATGCTTCAACAACTTCTTCATTAACATAAAATTTTTAATGTCTTCTTTATACCTTTATTATTTTGAAGGCTGAATAAGCGTAACTTTTATAATGTGAACAGACATAAATGCAAATAAGTGGAAGTGCGAACTTGAAATTTGTGTAATTTTAGCCTCCTGTTTGAAAGCATTTGCTTTTCTGACTGAAAATTGGCTGTTTCTGACTTGGTCCGTACACAAAACAAACACCAGCATTGATGTAGTTTTGGTAAGGATTTTAGTTTTTAATCTGGGAAAAAAATGATGACTTAAACTGCATCATTTTTAAACTTCCATGAGCCAGTGACAGACTTGATGGTTCCTTTAATATCTGATATAATTTTATTTTTGTAGGGTTTGAGGTTGTTCGTGAGCGTAAAATCTTGTATGTCATCTAACAATACCTTCTTTTAATAGTTATTTTTTATTTTATAAAAAACAAATCTTTCATTGGATTCATAAAATTCAAAAGTCAATAAATACTTATGTTAACAACTATAGAATCAAGCAGACATAGTTTAAATAACTTTTCAAAGGCTGAAATCAAAACATATGTAAACGGATAAAAATAATTTTTCTTTTATGATTTGGCATCGCTAAGATAACAGCAAACCTAATATCAATTCTAATAGGTTTAGGACTTAAAAAAACTTTTTTTGACGTTTTGACGTCATATATTATAAAACAACAAAACCATACAAAGTTTAATGTCATAGATACCTAGATACAATGTTGCTAACCAATCAAAAAAACTGATTTAAATAAAATAGAGCTAAAACGACAAAAAAGGAATTTTGGAAGAATTTTTTTAATCATGTTAAACGAGTCATGGTATTGGAAAAGATACAGCAATTGAGCACAGTTTATACAGTTCTGGATTGTTAGTTATGTTGACGAGAAAAAGTTATTTATTGGCTGCCCAGTAATTATTATTTACCCGCCCAGTAAGTTTAACACTATGACACAGATTCTAAGTATATGTGGTTGGATTGAAGGAAGTCACACACCAATCATTCCTCCATCAAAAGATGAAAATCCTTTGGCTTTGAGGACCAGATTTGTTTATTTATTATGTTTACCCTAATAACATGATTCTAGGTGATGGCTTTTGGTTCTATTTAAATTTAATTTAATTTTTTGTTGAATTTTAGCTTAATACTATAATTTATATAATTTATAATTTATTTAATGTTATTTACATAAATAATTTATTATAGATAAATATTTATCTAAATAACATTATTTTGAAAAGTAAACAGATAAGTATACAACTAGTATTATAAAGACTTTGTTTCTTATCTAAAATAGATATTGTTTATACATAAACGATTTTGATATTTTGTTTTGAAACATGTTAAAATTATACTCTACAAATATTATACTTTCTACACTTTTCATATTTAGTATATTTAGTATATTAATAACCAGCAAGTCTGAAAAATTTAGATTTCTTATTTAAACATTAGTGTTACCTCAATCAGTACTTTGGGATGCTTTTGAAGTCCCTGGTGAACAAATTTTTCCTGGAGCAGTTGTCTTAGGTGATTAAGGCTACCCCTGCAACAATTGGCTCATCACACCTTACAGTGAAAACTACACAGTTTCTAAGTATTGGTTCTAAGCTAAGCATCAGTTCAATGATGCGTACCAAAAAACCAGATAAGCTATAGAGTGATGTTTTTGGGTTTTGAAAAACAGCTTTTACTCTCTGCAAGTACTAAGTCGATTTTTTAATTGTAAAATGCTGCAAAACCTTGTGTGTGCTTGCAAGATTCACAACATGTGCAATAAAGTTGGTGATAAGGGAGAAGATCTTTCAGTTTTACCTGCCACACCCTTGCCAATACAAGCTAGAGACGACATTCAAGTTGAAACTTGATTAGGAACTTGCAAGAATCAAATACTGCAGCTGTTTAACTGATGTAAATAAAAAATATTTATTAAATTTTAGTTTTAAAGAATTTATTTAATTTAAGTTTTCTTTTTTTAACAAATTTGAGTTTTTCTCTTAATAATATCTTAATAGGTAAATAAACGTTTTTTAAATTATATGGGACAGGTGATACCAAATACAAAGAGAAAGGTCTTTGGTATTGGAAAAGAAAGTAAAAAAACATAACAATATTATGTAATTTCTATAAAAAAATTTATTTACTTATTTTGTTCTGTTCAGGTATGTGCTAGGTTAGAATTAAGTAGTTTTGACATTTGCTTTATTTATGCGGTAGTGGTGTAGTGGTAAAACACTCGCTTCATAAGCAAGAGGTTCCTAGTTTGATCCCCACCACGTCCCTGGTAGTACTGCGCTCAACTTGTTTCTCCGCGAAGTGGCCTTGTTCGTCAAGGTTCGTGTTTCGGAGTTATAAAGTTGAGAGAGGGTTATAACCACTATTAAGTAACCTCCTCATCTGCAGTGGCCTTCTCGGCCTTGAGGAGGTGAATAACAAAAAAAAAAAAAAAAAAAAAAAATTTATATCACTACACAAATTATGTTTACACATTAGCATTAATGTTTTTTTTCCATTTTTAGGCCTTTCATTGTTGTTAGCATACTTTTTATTTTGTGATCGGTTTTTGTTTTATAAGTTTTTTGTCTGGTGATGTATTTGTTGTATATCTTCGTTCATATTGGTGTTAATAAAACAAATTTTTTTCATTATTTTTTTTTTTTATTATTTTTTTTTTTATTGTTATTATTGTTGAGTACTGTTTTGGGTGTATAGCCTGTCTTATTTATTTTTTAAATATTCCTCTATTAATCTTTATTTTTGTTTTGACAACTTTTTCGCCTTTGCCTAATTTGTTTAAAATTGAATTGAACTGCTTAATTTGTTAAAAAATGAATTAAAATTGAATTCAAAAAACTGCTTTACCTTAATTAATTAACTTTGACCCTAATTTGAGTAACTTATATTGAAAAAATCTTTAACCACATACTCGTCAGCAGCTATCACATTTTGCAGATCTTTTAAATTAAAGTTAGAACATAAAATAATCCTTAATAGAAATATAAAAATTTAAAACATGTTTAAGCAACAAGTTTTTGATACTTGCATTGATACTTGCTACAATGAAGTTCTTTAATAAATCTCTAATAAAGACCATTTCTTTATGATTAAGGTTCCATTGTTTAGGCATCTTAAGGCATTAAAACTGAATCTAAGACTGAGCTCGGAGAAGTTATTGCTCAAGAATAACTTCAAGTTACACATCTTAAAATTAAGGCTCGGGTGTTTAGGCATCTTAAGGCGTTAATAAAGTCAAAGTTAAACTAGAGCACAATTTCAAATCACTTGCGAGATCTATTTTTAAATTTTACATTAAAATGCCAATTACATAAAAAAGTGATTGTTTTATAGGGCGGCCTAAATTTTACAATGTAGTTACAAAATTTTAGAGTAATTACATTGTAAAGTTTACAATATTGTAAAAATTTTATAGGATAGAGCCAAGGATTGTTTTGTTTGACTAAGAAAATCTGATAAACATTCCACACACTTTTTTTTACTTATCTGACTTTACTCAACCAAGAGCCTTGAGGCTCTTGATTTAGTATTTTTATGTATAATGTTTTTTTTACATGATTAGTATCCTTATGTATGTTCTCATTTAAATGATGATAAATGATGTCTTGATAAAAATACTAATCAAATTTTTATAAATATTTAAAATTAATATAAAAAAATTATAAATTATTATTTTTAGTAATAATCAAAATTCCTTCAAACTGAAAAAAAAAAGAAGCAGTTTTAAAATGAAGAAAAATAAAAATAAAACAAAAATAACCTGATTTTGAGTTTTTCCAAAAAAATGAATAGCTGATGTTTTTAAAAAGAAGACTTATAACCAAAGTCAAGACTGCTAACAAAAGGAATTTTGTTTTTAAACTTGAAGATTCTAAAAAAAAAAAACATTAAAAAAAAATAATTTTATTAAAAACTTATAGTTTTATAAAACGTTTTTCAGAAAAATATGTAAAAAATAAAAATGTAAATATTATTTTTATTTGTTTTATTTGAAAAACGTTTAGTGTTATTACTTTTTTATTATCTATTTTAGTTTTATTTTTGTTATTTTGATTTTTTAATATTTTAAGTAGTTTTAACAAAAAAAACTACTTAAAATATTATTTTTTAAATAATATTTTAAGTAGTTTTTTTTGTTAAAACTACTTAAAATATTATTTAATAATTGGTCTAAACATTTTTGCCTAAAAAAGGTAATTAATGATCATTATTCATTATGTTATCCATAATACTTTATTATTGATCATTATTTATTATGTTACCCAGAACTCTCCTCTCTAACTATAAGTAAGTATAAATAAAAAATTTTAAAGGATTTTAATTTTATTTTAACTTTTCCAAGGTCAGGTCAGGCCTATGACCATCATGATTGCTGAAAGCATGTGATTCAGTATCATCTATTGCATATTTTGCTGCTTTGTTGGATTTGCTTTCTATAAGCTAAAAGAAGTGTACTTCCTGTTATCAATACTAACAAATATCTGTCATATCTATGGTGGTCTAATTTTTGTCTATTACATAGTTGAAAAAGTAAAATTTACTGCTTCAGCTCACCTGTATTTTACTAGATATGTATGTTTGTGTTTTGTCTAAAACTTAGGCATTAATAACAACAAAAATGTTTACAGGAATTAGAAAATAAACTTAGAAAACAAAAGGTATTTGTGTATAAAACATAATTTATTTAAAACAAAACTCTGAGTTTAACAAAAACCTAGCAATCATAAGTTTTAAATTATAAAAAGAAGAAAAAAATTACAAAATAATGTAGAGTGTTCTCTGTGGTAACATTTTTTTTTTTTTTGTTACATTTTTGCTTTCAACAAAGCTGGAAGCAGCCACTATAAGAAAGATGAAGTTTGTAGAGCAAGATAACGATTGACAGATGACTTGAAACATTGCAAATTATATGAATCAGGGAAGCAAGATAAAGGAAGCAAATTCCAAAGAACTGACATTCGAGGAAAAAACTAGACAAATTAGAGTTTTTAGAGCATTTAGGAACAGTCACAGAAAAAGGATGAGACTTAATTGAATGAGGAGTAACACAAGAATGAATTTTACTAGCTGTCACAAAGGACGCTAGCTTTTTAGAGCAATGCCCCTTATAATATTTATAGAAAAGAGAAAGAGAAGCAAAATCACAACAATGTGACAATTGTTGGAGATTAGCTGCATATCTTTTCTAAATCACAACAATGTGACAATTGTTGGAGATTAGCTGCATATCTTTTCTAAATCACAACAATGTGACAATTGTTGGAGATTAGCTGCATATCTTTTCTAAATCACAACAATGTGACAATTGTTGGAGATTAGCTGCATATCTTTTCTAAATCACAACAATGTGACAATTATTGGAGATTAGCTGCATATCTTTTCTAAATCACAACAATGTGACAATTGTTGGAGATTAGCTGCATATCTTTTCTAAATCACAACAATGTGACAATTGTTGGAGATTAGCTGCATATCTTTTCTAAATCACAACAATGTGACAATTGTTGGAGATTAGCTGCATATCTTTTCTAAATCACAACAATGTGACAATTGTTGGAGATTAGCTGCATATCTTTTCTAAATCACAACAATGTGACAATTGTTGGAGATTAGCTGCATATCTTTTCTAAATCACAACAATGTGACAATTGTTGGAGATTAGCTGCATATCTTTTCTAAATCACAACAATGTGACAATTGTTGGAGATTAGCTGCATATCTTTTCTAAATCACAACAATGTGACAATTGTTGGAGATTAGCTGCATATCTTTTCTAAATCACAACAATGTGACAATTGTTGGAGATTAGCTGCATATCTTTTCTAAATCACAACTATGTGACAATTGTTGGAGATTAGCTGCATATCTTTTCTAAAAGAGAAAGAGCATCATTAGAAAACCTGCCCCAGATATGGCAACAATATTCCATACAGGGACAGATTTTAAATCTATAGAGATAAATGTCAAGCTCGATAAAGAGATACAACCTTAGAAGATGCTAATTTTGCAATAAATTTGATATACAGTTTCCAAAAAAGATCAGAAGTAAGAGTTAATACTAGAAGATAAAGGGTAGATAACTCATCTAGTACATAACTGTTCATAAATATAGAAAGATCGAAATTGAATAAATGAAACAAATCAAACTTGTTTTTATTATATTTTTTAAGTGAACAAAACACACAGATACTTAATTCTTAACTATAATTTTGAAGTTCAATTAAATATAAAGTTCAATATAAAATTAATATATAATATAAAATATAAAATTCAATATAAAGTAAACTAAACTAAACTTAAATAAAAAAAATAGAACTACCTTTTTTAATAGAAACACTGATACCTGTTACTGATGAACTTGATGTCTCTAAAAAATATAGTTGAGTTATTACTAATATTAAGGGTTGGGATCAAACACATTTAATCAAATATAAACATACAATTTCTAAATTATTTCAATTTTAAATTCTAAATTTAAAAATATATGTAATCAGAGTTAGGTTAAATTAGTTGCTTCATTATGTAAATTGTTTTTAATTAAGTACTATTACATTTAAATATATAGTAAAACATTATTGGGTTTTTCAAAAAAAGAAAAAACAGTTAACTCATATTTTGAAGACACTAGATAACTCTATTGCTTTTTGCAACTACTTCAACTGTTCCAGAAATGATGCCAAATACCTGGCACTTCTATGATGTGCTCAGTACTTTTTGCAATCCTTTATCAGAAGCTACAGGCACTAAAACACTGTCTGAAATGTGGGCTGAAACTCATACATGGTCTGAGCAGACACACAGATGGTCTAATAATAAATTTTATTTCTGAGCAGAAATAAAATTCATTATTATCCAGTTAAATAAACAAAACAAACAGAAATCCAAATTTCAAAAATAATTTTCTAAAAAATTTTTCAAAATTAACAAAAATGTAAAATAAACTTTTTATTTGGAATATAGTTAGTGTAATTTTAAAAGTTAAATTCCTTTTAAGTTTTAAAAACCTTTTAAATTACCATTTTTTTTTTTTTTTTGCCTTTTTTTCTTGGCAAAAAGTTTTTTTACTATTTCTGGACAATGCAAAGTCACTAAAAAATATACTAAAGTTAGTACTTTATTTCTAAACTCACTAATTTTGTATGCACAAAACTTGGGCAAAAAACTTGCAATTTATATTGCGTAAGTCCAACTCTCAAACTATGGCATTAACAAAACTTCTTAAGAGAATGCTCAACTTGATTTAAAAAAGAAAATTTACGTTAGGTAGGAACTACTTTAACTTTTGCATAATTTTAAAATATTACTGCAGCTCACATGTATTGATTTTTTTGTTAAGATTTGCCATAAGATTTTTTAAAATTTGTGATAAATATATATTTATGAATTATATATATTTATGAATTCTCTATACTATACTATAGGATACTCAATAGTCTGTAAAGTATGTCTTATATATACTAAGTATAGTCATATACTTTATTACAAAGTTTATTATATTTTACAAACTTTATTACAAATGTAGGCATACCTTTACATAGTGTGTCACATACATACAAAACATTTTAACAGAGTATGTAGTTATTAATAGCTACATACTCTCTTATAATGTATAAATTAAAGTAATACTTCCTATTAAACTTTAGCAGTTTAATCAAAATACTTTAATCTATAGGCTATAGTTTCTTTTGGAGTAATATATTACTGCCTAAGGAACTATAGGCTATAGATTAAAGCTCTTTGATTAAACTACTAAAGTTTAATAAGAAGTATTTTACAATACAGTATTTTACAGCTTACAAATAAATAAGCTGTAAATTGGTGCTACTCAAACTTTTAGTTTGAAGGGAAAAGATATATCAATAAATTTATGTTTATTAAAAGATTAAGTTAAGTAGCTTAATAGTTTAATAAAATATATTTATAATGTTTAACTTGGAGAATTAAATTCATAAAAAATTTGCTATAATTATTGTCAGTTAATTGAGTTTTTATTACCTTTTTAAATTGAATATAATTCAGTGTATATAAGGGTTCCCAACAGATAAAAAATTTGAAATTCCAGGACTTTTCAGAACATTTTTTTTATTTTTCCAGAACATTTGCTTTATTAATTCCAGAACTTACACAAAAAAATTTATAAAATCCAGGACTGTTCAGGACTTTTTTATAAATAGCCCAAAATAACACAATATACGCTACTAAATGTAAATTAATATAGAAATTAAATGTAAATTAAAGAAATACATTACAGCTACATAAATATAGCTACATCACTACAGCTACATAACTAATAAATTTTTTTTATTTGATTCTTTCAAAAGAACAAAAATAATTTGCTTTTCTGCAATTATGGCTAGCATATCAGACTGTTCTATAAAAGTACTTTGCAAGATTTTTGCTCTAAGTATCTTATCAACCAAAATTTTTCGTTTTAAATTCCTACTGTTACATTCTTTTTGTTCTCTTTGTGATTAAAAATGCTTTTTATATAGACTACTTGTTTGTTTTACATTTTACAGCATTTCTTTATTAATTTTGATACTATCAGGGGATTCTTCAAGACGTAAGGCAATAAGGGATCTTTAAGATTTTCGACAAGAGGTTATTTATTAATACTAAAGATTGTGATTTATTAATACTGAAGATTTTATTAATGTTAATTAAACCACGAAGATTGTCCATGTTAAAGCACAAAAATCATTTTAAAAACAATCCAAACATCTTAATAAGCTCCAATATAGTCAGAGAAAAACTGATCAAGACTATAGTTTTTAAAATCAAAATCATCAACTATTGAAAGTATAATAGCCATAAATGGAACCATAGAATTAGTCTGTTTGAATGCATCTCAAAAAACTATCTAACTATTCAGAAACCATCTCAAAAAAATTAAATTTAGCTGTCAAAACAGGATCATAAATCATGGCTTTCAGTCTCTGCCAGCTTTTATTTTTTAAGGTTGTTTACTTTTCTTGAGACTACTAAAATATATTACAAACTTTTAGTATCCATCAAAGAGTGTTTCAGCCTTTTGAGCACATTTATAATTTTTACATTCAACTATGCCAACAAATCTGCATTGGATAATCAAGTGTCCAATGGTGTTTCCATAGGCTGCACTTCTACTAGGAGAGTCATGTAGAAATTGCCACATTGCTTTTAATAGATTGTTAAGCTCCCAGCCACTTGCTTTTGCCCCGACTTTAAAACTGCAATGAATGAGATGGGGACTACAGGTTTCAAGGAAAGAAAATTCCAGAGGAAAGAGAAAGATCAAGTTCTTCCTCTTTCCTCTGCTCTTTTAAATTATCTAGAAAAACCAAATATACATTTGGCCTGTCTGATAACACTTGTAGAATCTTTGATTTATCTATATCAGAAATACAGTTCAGGAATGTTTGCATAACATCATGTGCTGTTGAGCGCCCAATGAACTATATATTAAGATAACATATTTTAACCATACTTGTATTGTCATCCCAAAATCTTACTAAAACGTCTATTTGACCCTTCTAAAAAACTTTTCAATTCATGGATTCATCAAATGAAACAGCGTAATAAGGTGCGTAAAAGATTCATCAAATGAAACAGCGTAGGGAAGTGAGCAAATCATTTTTAAAAAAGGGAGCTAATCTGAATGTTGCAATATAACTGGCCTTGGTGGGTCCATATTGAAACAACTTAGCAATGTCACTTTCTAGAAACATTTACTAAATAATTTACCAAAATCAGTTAAAGAATTCATTGAATATTTAGAATACACAATATTCAAAACCCAACGGATTTCAGCTTCAAAGGTAAACTTATTAGCATTTTATTAATTGTTTTTTGGTGTTTTGCTTTATTTTAGCATTTTGACATATATTCATTAACTTGAACAGTGTTAGGAGCAGTTAGCATCAACGACTTGATATTGCTAGCAGAAGGAGATCTCTCTATGTGCTTTTTAGTTTTCATGGGTTAAGTTAAAGCAGCTTTTCCCTTGTTAACAATATTAATATTTATAGCACAATAACTGCAAATCACAACAGTTTCTGTTTTTTTACGTAACCAATATTTATATTTTTCTTCTACAAGCGATTTTACTTATAAAATACATTTATTTTTAGGCATTTTATAATTATTTTATCTGAAAAAAAAAATGTAAACATTATAGGAGCCAAAAAGAAATTAGAATCTCTAATATTTCATACTTTTAAAAATTATTAAAAACTATACAACAATGCAATAATTAAGTAACAATTGAAAAAGTATATATAAATTGTCTATATAATTATAATTTATGCAAACTATGATAACTTTCAAATAATAATTTTAAAACAATTTAACTATGCCTTGTTGTGGATGTGTAAGTTTATTTAAGAATCTTAAAAATACAAATTTCAAAAACAATATAAGAATCAGATTTCCCATAAAATTTATACATTAAAGCAAATATATTACTAAAATTTACTATAATTTGTACTGTAGTTGTGCTGTTGTTGTATTGTTTTTATTTACTTAAAAACAGACAGTAAAATATTATCCCATTTTCCAGGACTATTCCAGGATTTCACAGAATAATTAAAAAAAACCAGGACATTCCAGGACTTTCAAGGACCACTTTCAAATTCTAGGACTTTTCAGGACCGGTAGAAACCCTGTTATTATGCACAACTTTTAAGAAACGCATCAGGTACTCTTTTTGACATAAGTGAAATGAAGGAAACTGTTTTACCAACGCAAGGTATGTTTTTTGCCATATTAGATAAAACTTTTCGAAGAGAAATGATAAAAAACAGCTGTGTCGCCATATAGGGTTATGCTCCCACTTCCCCTATATATTTTTTTAGTAGATAAGAAACATACTTACTAATTTATAAACATATTACATATCAATTAAACAAAACATATAAACAACTTATAAACAAACTTTTATAGAAAAATCTATAGACCTCTACAAACAGTGCTTTTAAAAATCATACTGTGACTATTTACTTATAGGTGCGAATTATAATTTTATTTTTATAGGTGCGAATTATAAAATTTATACTGTGACAATTTACTTATTGGTGTATATATATATATATATATATATATATATATATATATATATATATATATATATATATATATATATATATATATATATATATATATATATATATATATATATATATATATATATATATATATATATATAATTAGGGTCCTCATTTGGCAATGCCCACTTAAAAGTGTTTGAGGTCGGTTTTGCCGAATGCCAACCCTAATTCCTATAGTTATATATATAATATATATATATATATATATATATATATATATATATATATATATATATATATATATATATATATATATATATATATATATATATATATATATATACATATATATATATATATATATATATATATATATATATATATATATATATATTTATATATATATATATATATATATATATATCAATTAATATATACATATCAATTAAACTAAACATATAAACAAACTACTAACAAAATTTTATAGAAAAATCTATAGACCTCTACAAACAGTACTTTTAAAATTCATACTGTGACTATTTACTTATAGGTGCAAATTATTATTTTATTTTTATAGGTGCGAATTATAAAATTTATACTGTGACAATTTACTTATTGGTGTATGTATATATATATATATATATATATATATATATATATATATATATATATATATATATATATATATATATATATATATATATATATGAATATATATGAATATTTATATATATATATATATATATATATATATATAAATATATATATATATATATATATATATATATATGAATATATATGAATATTTATATATATATATATATATATATATATATATATATATGAATATATATATATATATATGAATATATATATATATATATATATATATATATATATATATATGAATATGCATATATATATATATATATATATATATATATATATATATATATGAATATATATATATATATATATATATTTATATATATATATGAATATATATATATATATATATATATATATATATATATATATATATATATATATATATATATATATATATATATATATATATATATATATATATATATATATATATATATATATATATATATATTTAAGGGGTTAACAGATTCTATCTGTTGACCAGCCTCGCACCCCTTCTCCACCTATTAGGCTGTCGCAGATGTATTTTTAATACATTGTTTCTAGTTAAGGATGTTGAATGCTGGATTTTCTTGACTCGATGCATGGTTTTTGCTTGTGTCTGTTTTTATGACGAGGCAACTCATTCTATTATCTCCAAATGAGGGTACAGCTCTAAAACTCAGTTTTATGGTTCTGAGGCCGGCTGGTAGTCAGGTTTCCCAAACACTGTAGTAGCTCTCAGAGAGGCTGATTCCATCAACAGCTGAAAATTATCAGAGTACTAACAATGCCATGTTGCACATGGATGGTGTCCCTGTTTGTACATTTGATGTGCATTGCCAAGGCCACATTGGAGCCCTTTGTTACGGCTTAGAGTTTATTAGTGGAAATCAGGCAATTGCTTGGGCTATAAAACAGTGTACTGAGTAATATCTATGTTTCGAGTCAAGTTCTTTAAAAAATTTAAAAATGAATAAAGTAACAAAAACTTTAAAACACAAAAAACCACAGTCATCACCAAGTTCGATAAACCTATCATTCACCAATATTTGTGGTCTTCGAAGTTTTCTTCTGTTGAGTCTTATCTCTTGCAAAGTTTACCAGACCTACTTGCTCTTTGTGAGACTAATTTGAGTTCAGCTGTCTCATCTTGTGATCGTAGTGTTGATGGTAATCTTCCTTTAATTCGTAAAGACTCCAATAGTCACATGCTTGACCTAGGCATTTACATTTGTAAGAGTTCACCCATTTGTCGGGAAACTAGGTTTGAATCCATATACTACTCTTTTTATGTGCTTTCGTTTTTTACCTTTCCCTTTGTTCTATACCGCTCTCCTTCATCTCAAGACTGCACTCATCTTGATGTTATTTCTGAATATATTGACCAAGCCCTCATTCTTTATCCATTAGCCAATATTGTTGTTGTAGGTGACTTTAATGTTCATCACACTGAATGGCTTGACTTAGTGTTAGTGACTCCGCAGGCATTAAGGCTCACAACTTTTGCCTTTCTCAATCTCTAACTCAAATAGTCAACTTTCCAACTCGCTTTCCAGACAACCCGAATCAATTACCTTCTCTACTCGACTTATGTCTTGTTTCTAATCTTAGTCAGTGCTCAGTTTCTCCACACTCACCCTTAGGAGCTTCTGATCATGGTTTGGTCTCTCTAAAACTATTATCTCATTCTTTTTTACCATCAGAATCCCCCTATCATTGTACATCTTACAACTACCTTAAAGCTGACTGGGACTCTTTCCATGATTTTCTTTGTGATGGCCCTTGGGTAGAAATCTTTTATCTTCCTGTTGACAAATGTGCTTCTTACATAACTTCGTGGATTCAGGCTGGCATGGAATCCTTTATGTCCTCTTGACAATTTCAGGTCAAGCCTCACTCTTCTCTAATCGAAACCATTACTTCCATATCTATCAGCAAAACAATTCTCCAGAAAACAGGCGTCTGTTTATTACTGCTAGGAGCCATTGTAAAAAGGTTTTGTCTAATGCCAAAGCCCACTATTCTCAGATCATGAAATCTCATATCTCATCACAAAAATTAGGCTCTCCTGACTTCTGGAGAATCTTTAATAGTATCAATAATAAGGGCAAGTCTGTAATTCCACCTCTTTTGCATGGTTCAGACTTTGTCACCTCTCCTAAAGACAAAGCTGTCTTGTCTTGTTTTCCAGCCTGGTGGAAAGCAGCATCTGTTATCCCTATTTTTAAAAATTCTGGAGAGCGATCTGATTCGTCTAACTACTGTCCCATTAGTCTTCTTCCTATCATAAGCAAGGTTTTTGAATCTTTAATTAACAAACACTTAATCTCTCATCTCGAATCTCATAACCTACTTTCTGATCATCAATATGGATTTTGTTCTACGATATCAATATCTTCTTGTTCTACGGCTGATTTGCTAACAGTAATAACCGATAGATTTTATCGCACATTAGATAAAGGTGGAGAGGTTAAGGCAGGGTTAGGGTTAGGGTTAGGGTTAGGGGTTATGGGTTTAATTTCTAAGGCGTTTGATAAAGTTTGGCATGCTGGTCTTCTCCATTAGCTTTCTTCTTGTGGTGTATCTGGAAACATCTTCAAGATTATCGAATCCTTTCTTTCCAATCATAGTATAAAAGTTGTCCTCGATGGACAACACTCCTCTTCTTATTCTGTAACCTCAGGGGTTCTTCAAGGTTCAATCCTTGGCCCTATACTCTTTTTAATTTACATTGACAATCTTCCAGATTTTCTCACATCTAAAGTGGCATTGTTTGCTGATGATACTACCATTTATTCTTGTCGTGATAAAAAGCCAACTTCCTCTGATTGCTTACAGGGGGCATCTGAGCTTGAAAAGGATCTTACTTCTGCTACAGCATGGGGCTCACAGTGACTGGTGAACTTTAATTCAGATAAAACTCAATTTTTTTCAGACAAACCTTATCACAATAATTAAGACCTTCCTATATTTATGAACTGTAATGTTCTCGATGAGTCTCCTACCATTCATCTTCTAGGAATAATTTTTACTTCTGATCTTTCTTGGAAACCTTATATGAAATCCGTTGCAAAATTAGCATCTGCTAAAGTCGCTTCTCTTTATCGAGCTTTCTTACTCTGGATTCTATTCTCTATTTCTATAAATCTCAAATCCGGCCTTGTATGGAATACTGTTGCCATATCTGGGGTAGATCTTCTAATGATGCCTTTTCTCTTTTAGACAAGGTGCAAAAACGGATTGTAAACATAGTTGGACCAACTCTTGCAGCCAACCTTCAACCTCTGTCATATCGTTGTAATGTTGCTTCTCTTTCTCTTTTCTACAAATACAATAATGGGCACTGCTCGAAAGAGCTAGCCTCTCTTGTGCCATCTACAAAAATTCATTCTCGTGTTACTCGTCATTCAAGTCTCATCCTTTTTCTGTTACTGTTCCTAAGTGCTCCTTAAACTCTTATTTGTCTAGTTTTTTTCCTCGAACATCAGTTCTTTGGAATTCGCTTCCTTCATCTTGCTTTCCTGATTCATATAATTTGCAATCTTTTACGTCGTCTGTCAATCGTTATCTTGCTCTACAATCTTCATCTTTTCTCTTCCAGTAACTTCCAACACTAATTAGTGGTTGCTTGCAGCCTTGTTGAAAGCGAAGATGTTAAAATTATATATATATATATATATATATATATATATATATATATATATATATATATATATATATATATATATACATATATATATATATATATATATACACATATATATATATATATATATATATATATATATATATATATATATATATATATATATATATATATATATATATATATATATATATATATACATATACATATACATATATATATATATATATATATATATATATATATATATATATATATATATATATATATATATATATATATATATATATATATATATATATATATATCTGTAACTATCAACATTAGTTAAACCAATTCAAAAATTAAAGGGTATGCCAAGGATCCATAGTTTTATCATATCAGTAAATCGAAAATAAAAATAAAATATGATTCTTCTTTAGTATTGTTACCTCTAAATTTTGTTTCAATTTTAATCACAATATCTAATCGATTAAAAGCCATTAATTCTTTTTTCAATTGCTCCCAAGAAGGATTTCCATTTTTTTGCTTCCATTTTTTAAAAACATTATCAGCTTTTTCATAACAATTTTTGTTATCAGAGCCAATGTTATCAAGATCTGAATCACTTAGACCGAGGTGTCTTCCCCATCGCAACCAATCACTTCCAATATTATAGCTTACTTCACCACAACATTTTGAAATAAATTCATCAGAAGCCAATTGATTTCTAGATACTAAACATAAGAAAGTTAAACTTTAAATCTTTAAAAAAAAAAACAGCAAACAAATTAATATAATATACAAGTATAATAGACAAAACTATGCATAAATTAATCATGCAAAATTAAATAAATTATACTAAAAATAATTAGAAGGACACTTTAGAAGGGAAGATATACCTGTTTAAGTAAAAATTATTTTTTTTTGGATAGGTATTGCTGAGAAACTAAAGTCAAACTTAAACATCATCAAATAATTATAATGCAGAAAATAATAAAGAAAAATTAAATCTTTAATTTAATTTTTAACTTACAAAAAGAGTTACACTTTTTCCTTTTTTTTTTTAATTTTTCTTTTACTATTTATTTTGGAGATTGAGAAATGAAAAACTTGTGAGCCTTAATGCCTGATAAACATTACAGTCACCAAAAACAACAATATTGGCTGAAAGATAAAAAGAAAGAGCTAGCTAAATTTAAGTAAGGTAAATTTAATCAAAAGTTTTTTTTTAAAAAAAAAAACATGGTCATGAGATAAAGGAGAGTAATAAAGAACAAAGTGAAAGGTAATAGAGTGAAGTGGTGCTTAACAAAAACACATAAAAGAATAGTCTGTTGATTCAAACCTAGTTTCCTGACAAATGGATGAACTCTTACTAATGTAAATGCCCAGGCCTAGCATGTGACAATTGCAGCTTAAAAAAATTAAAAGAAATTAATCCAAGCAATTTTGTAATTCTATTAATAAATCCTGTCGTAACAAGGGGGCCAAATGTGGCCTCAACAATGCATATCAAAATTACGAAAAGAGACACCATACATATGCAACATTGGAAACTTTAGTTTTCTAATATTTTACAGCTGGTAATGGATTCAGCCTCACTGAGAGCTACCACAGAGTTTAGGAAACCTGAGTACCAGCAGGTCTCAGAACAAAAAAAAATGAGTTTTAGAGATTTATCCTCATTAGGAGATAATAGTAAAAGTTGCTTAATCATAAAACAGTGACACAAGCAAAATCTACGCAACAAGTCAAGAGATCAGTATTAAACATTCTAATTTGGAAACAATTTATTATAAACACATCTACACCAGTCTAATAGATAAAAAAGGGGAGCAAAGCTGGTCAGCAGATGAAATCTGTTTAATTTGAGTTTCTACATGATACTTGTGAGTTTTGAATTTTGACTTTAAAAGTGTTTTTGTTTTTTAAACAATCTGTTTGCCTGTTTTTTTATTTATTTTTTAACTAATTTATTTTTAACAAAGAAAACCTTTAACTGTTAAGTTGAGATTTACTATAAACTAAGAACAGTGTTAAAGAGCAAGGAAACAGATTTAGAGAAAAAAAGTTGAAAGTTACATGAGTATAAAAAACGTAAAGATTGGAGAGAATGGAAAGAACTGAAGTGCAAGGAAAGAAACTAGATAGATAAAAGATTTTTGATCAGGAAAGGACAGAGACAAAAAAGAAGCAAACTTGATGAATGACAATGGAATGGCAATGTCAGGCTGGAATGAGTGTTTGTTGGTAGAGCTGAATGTTAATATTTGTAAAAAAGTAAAAGTGATGCAAATTTACGACAATGGATGAGTGGTTTAATCTTAGTAAATAGAGCAGATCCGACTTAATAATGTCTTTTTGGACCTTGTTTAAGAAGAGAAAAATCATAATTAGAAGAACCAGCCTTGATATTTCAACAGTATTCAAATACAGGAAAGTCTTTTCCCCCCTTTTTTCTCCTGTAAACAAATTTGTTTTAAAGTGCAATTAATATTGATAGTAGTAAAAAACATTTCATAAATATTTAATGAAGCTTTAATGATTCTTATATTTATTATGTTATGTTCTCTCAAATTTTTTTTCAAACCTGATGCCAACCTATTACAGTTTAAAGACCGCAATTTATTTTTAACATCAAACTGTTAGAGGTTGACATTGAATCCTAAAGCTGGTTATCAAATAACATTATTATACAATACATATTTTAGAAAAACAAAAATAAATTAGTTTGTTCTTGAAAAATGAAAAAAAAAAAAAGAAAATAAAATATATTCCATAATTTTATATAATGATCAATAGTTCAATATGCAGTAAATTATTGGAATAATTAGTACAACTGATTATTTTTCAAGATGCACTTTAAAAATAAACTCTTGGTTTAATCATTTTTATTACATTTTTGTAATAAAAATGATGAAACCAAGAATTTATTTTTATAAGCGCTAATTTATTTTTGTATAGCGCTACGTTACTCGCTTTAATGTAGAACATGTGTTTAAGAGAAGAAAAAACATAGTACTGGTATTTTAAAATAACATTTTAGATATTAGTAACAATTTCAAGAAAGTTACAGGATTGCACTACCATCAAATTATTAGAGCTACAGCTAATAAATCCAGTTGCATGTATGACGAAGCACAAAAGTCATGCACAGAAGTTGAAAACTTAATGATTTCATGTAGTTATTTTTAAGAAAATAATTTAATTGTGAGTATTTCATGTGAACTCTTTATCTCTACAACTCATATTTAACATATTTTTGATGAGAAATAGCAGACATCAAATATTTCTGGGTAGAATAAAGCGTTTAAAGAAATATTATTATAATTAGAGAAAATATTGCATATTTTTCAAACTAGTGAGTCATTAACACACACACACACACACACACACACACACACATACACACACACACACACACACACACACAATAAAATGATACAAATGCATATATTTAAATATTCAGGTAGCCTTATATGCGTAAAAAAAATTTTTTTCGAAGTTATTCTTTAAGAAAATCATAATAGTATGCATATTGCTATAAGGCTTCTAATTGTAAAAACTAACAAAAATAAACAAGTTTTATCTTTAACTAAAAACTTTTATCAATACAATTTTGAAAAAAAAAACAATTTAACAACTTATTATTACCTTCTTTCTCATTACAAGCTGAGCAAGTGTTGTTATTCGTGCTTAGAAGTTTTAAATATTCCATTTTGTGTTTTAAGCAAAGAAAGTAATCATGCACAAGCCTTGTACATATATTTTTTTAATTACATTATTTGAACCAACAAAATACCAAATTACAGAAATAGATTAGAAATAGACTATAAATCAATACTAGAGAACTATAGTTATAAAATAATAAACTGAACCAAATTACAACAGAATGGAGTAAAAACAAGCTTTTTTTTTTTTTGAGGCCCTGGAAGTACCTAAAGCAATTTTATATTACCCCAAATGTCACCTAAAATATTACCTAAAGTCATACTCTACAAAACTACAATTTAATATTTAGAAAGAAATGTGTTGTTAGAACTGCAGAACTTAAAGAGAAAAATTAAAGCAACCAGCCTAGTGATTTGTGTTAATAATTTTTGCTATTTACTGATTTTTAGGATTTCGTTATTATATCATTTGTCGATATATAACTTAAACTTTTAAATTAAAATTGTTAAAATAAGTAAACAAATAAAAAAATACTAAAAAAACATATACCTTCTGTTTTAACTGAGCTGCTAAATAGACCATTTTCCATTTTTTTGTAGAAACCTTTAATAAATCATACAATAAACTTGTAAAAAGATAAGAAATATGTTAATACCAAGAAAATATCTTAATAAAAAAGTATATAAATTTAATATATACAGACCCGTAGTAAGCTGAAAAAGGTCCATAGTTAGGTAAAAAGTAGTTCTATTTTTAATGGCTTTTAAAATTGCTTCTTTAGTTACTTTTAGAATATGTTGTTCAATTATTCGATGTACATAATGATCTGTTAAATAAGTATTATATATAGTTGTTTATTAAAAACTTTATTTTTATGGTTAACTAATTGGTCTCAGATCACCTAAGTTGAAAATAAAATATATATAGTCGTACATTAAAAATTAGGGATTCCAGAATCATACAACCTAAGTTGAAAATAAAATATACCAAAAAAAAAAGATCATTTTTACAAAATTAATTTTTTTTAAAAAGTACTTTCATACACAAATTTATGTCTACACCATAATTCAAAAGAGAAATATACACAAAAAAATAGATCTCATTTAATATAAGCGATTACTGTAAAATTTGAAATCTTCTTTTATTGAGCTATAAACAATCAAAATAAAATAACTTACATCAATTCTTCCTTAGTTTACTAATGTTAACATGAAATATAAAATATAACAAGCTAAAATTTTAATAATCAAAATTTCATTATCAGAAAATCCATTAACTTAACCAACCTTACTTGCATTTTTGTTAGACCCCTTGCTCTACCCATGATTGTAATCTAATCCCCTACTCTAATCATGGTTGTAAATTTAACAAATTTGTTAAGATTTAACAAATTTCCAATGAAATAAATATTTCAATACTATCATTCTACTAGTACAGCCTAATTCACATCTTTAACTAAAAATAACAGAAATGCTCTAATTTGCATTAGATGGAATAGGTCTTGTTTCCCGTGCAGCAGCCTTGTTCATCAAGGTTCATGTTTTGGAGTTATAGAGTTGAGAAAGGGTTATAACCACAATTAAGTAGCCTCCTTGTCTGTAGTGGCCTTCTTGGCCTTGGGGAGGTGAAATAACAAAAAAAAAAAAAAAAGGTGAAGTGAGATTTAATTGCTTTAAGAGATTGATCTATACCTGTCTTAACTTGAACCCTGATGTACAAGCATTCTCTTGCATTTTATCTCTAAATGTAGCCAATGAAGCAGCACTCACTTACATTTCTCCCCAAATCAGTAATAAATTTAGTCTTTGTTTTTTGAAAAACCAAAACCTCATTCTGAGTCATAGTATCTTTCGCTTACTCTTTTTAACATAATGAATTTGGTGATAAGACCAAACTTGTTTACTGTGTATTTTTTTTTTATAATAAAAGGTGTAACTTTTCTTTAAAATCAACGAATAGAGTATGAGTACAGTATAAATACATACTGTTTAATTACAGTATGAATACATACTGTTTAATTACTGTATGAATACATGGGCTTGATGATTAAGCCCATCTGCGCTAAATATCTTTTTCTTTTTTTTTTCTTTTTTTTTTTTGGAAAAATGATTTACGCTAAACTGTCCCAATAATTTTATTAAATTTAAAAAAATACAAACACAATGACAATGATTAAAACAAAACAAAAATAAAATAGTACCTAAATCACTTGGAACATATAACGTTTTAAAATCCGGCTAACAATTCCATTTAGAATTCGATGGTAGTTATTTTCAACACATTACTTGACATAAAAAGACTTAACTAACTACTGTGCTTAGTTGTAAGAGACTCTCGTGACATAAGCAAATGTTTACTGTTTATTTTGCAATGTTGACATTTTCGTGCGAGTGCTCATTTAAATGTAAACGAGTAACGTCAATTTATCAATTAATAACGTCAAAGTAAAGCCTTTAGTCTATTTATCTTTGTACGAGAACGTACGGACTTAAATTGGCCTTTTTTTTTCAAATTAAATTTACAGGTGCTTGCACCCCAAAAACCACATAAAAGTAGGAGAGCCTAGAACTTTTTTCTTGAAAAAAATCATATTTTTTAAGCTATTACTATTGAAAGATAAGCCTTAATGGGGTTCTTTCTGATAGGTATGGTTTAATGTCTCGCTTGTTTTCTTTTGCTTGAATGTTGAAGCTGACTCTTTTTTTCGCTATGCACCCTAAAAACCACATTAACTAATTTAACAATAATTTCTTTACTGTTAAGAATTTTAACTTTTTTAAATTTTAACTTTTTTTAATTTTTTGAAGAAGATTGTTATAATAAATTGCTCTTAGGATGATTGCATCACTGTTAACTTATATTTTATAGAACACTTCAAATGTACTACAAAAACCACATCATATCCACCCCAAAAGCCACGTCGGTTATGAAATAAATATTATGAAATAAATTTGAAATAATTTAATAAAATATTTATATAATATTATTTTTTTATGTAATACATAATATATAATAAATGTTATTACATTTAAATAAATAAATTTTCCTGTTAAAATTTTTGACATCCTATTCATAATCTTATACTAATTACTAAACTATATAGATAATATAACCTATATATAACACAAAAAGTCTGTTCAATAAATTTAAATTGTGCAACAATAAAATTTGCAAGTTATTAGGAATTTCCAAAATTTCATACTACATTTCCTTTTTGAAAACCTTAACAATGCAAAAAATACACGGAAAGCAATACAAGAATAGTTAACATAAAATAAAAAAAAAATAACAAAAAAAAAAAAAAAACATAAAACCATCCGCACCAAATAAATCTTGCATTTTCAAACCTATTTGTAACACTATCTCAGATAGTAGTACCGTTGCTCACATTTTTAACAACTGCTATGAAAAATACAATGCCCACCCAAAGGTAAAAAGATTTTTTCTGAACGTATTTTCTCTGGCTATTTAAAAAATTTGATTTTTTTTTTAATTCAGTGACCGAAAATGAGATTTTTGATTTAATAAAAAAATACATTACAAAACGGTATAAGTTTAGGTCGAAATAGAATCCCCACACACTTTCTTAAACTTATTTCTAATGTTATTTGCAAGACTTTGTGTACCATATTGAAAAATATATTTAGTTAAGGCTAGTTTTATTGTGTATTCCATTGCACATTCTACCATCTAGTGCATTATTTGACCACTTTTTAATGGTATCTTTCTAAATCGACTTCTTTTGACTTTCACTTGTTTTTTTTAACTCGTTCTTCTTAAAATCACTGACTTTCAGTCTGCAAACCAGGTTATGATGGTCTTTAGTGAGCTAAACTTGTCTTCGCAGGCCTGTGTATGTGGCCTATATATGGTAATTAGCCATATATAGGCCACATACATTGATGACTTTTTGGAGATGTTTTTAAGATAGCCAAAGTAATTCATTAATAAAAACAGTATAAATACATACTGTTTAATTACAGTATGAATACATACTGTTTAATTACTGTATGAATACATGGGCTTGATGATCAAGCCCATTTGCGCTATATATTTTTCTCTTTTTTTTTCTCTTTTTTTTGGAAAGGTGATTTACGCTAAACTGTCTCATTTATTTTATTAAATTTAAAAATTAACAAACACACTGACAAAGATTAGGTACAAGCGTATCCAATGAGTTACGGCACCGATTATGTAATCAAAATATTCGACCATTTTATCAAAGCGTGCTTAGCGTTTGAGTTGTAAGAATGTATTTTTTTGTGTTATTTTTTAGGATTTAATATCAGCATAGACTTTTTTTGAAAAGTGGAGGAGTTAAACTTCATTCTCGGATAGTTTTTTTTTGAAGTTACAACCGCCTTTATTGAATTAACTTTTCTTCAAAACTTCGTTGTTGATCACACGTCAAATTAATATTGAAGGAATGTTGAGAACATTTTTAAAACTATTAAGAAAAATTTAAAAACTTATTTTCTACGTACATAACAAATTTTATCGAAAAAGATTTTGTAGCAGACACCTAATTTTTTGTAGCAGAATATGTACCTAAGTTAAAGTATTGTAAATAAAACAAAATATTGCGCTTCTAGCAACAAACTTCCATAACAAAACTACCGTTAGCCGAAACTGATATTTTAAAACGCAGTTTTTTTAAGCAATCCTTGTAATCAAATTTTGTTACTTAAATGAGCATAACTTCTTGTAAAATTGTTATTTTGTTATGAAGTTTTCACTATTGTAATGCTGATTTTTGCCTCTTTTCAATGATATATAATAATCAATAATAAAAATAGTTTAAAGATTTTACACACGTGCCTACAAAGATTAAAACAAAGCAAAAATAAAATAGTACCTAAATCACTTGGAACATATAAGGTTTTTAAATCCGGCTAACAATTCCATTTAGAACTCGATGGTAGTTTTTTTTCAACACATTACTTGACATAAAATAACTTTACTAACCACTGTGCTTAGTTGTAAAAACAAGAAATAAGACTCTCGTGACATTAGCAAATGTTTACTGTTTATTTTGCAATCTTGACATTTTCAGTGTGAGCGCTTATTTAAATGTAAATGAGTGACGTCAATATAAAGCCATTAGTCTATTTATCTTTATACGAAAACGTATGGACTTATATTGGCCTTTTTTTTTCAAATTAAATACTTATACATAATATATAATAAATGTTATTATATTTAAATAAATAAATTTTCGTGTTTAATTTTGAACACCCTATTCATAGTCTATTACAAATTACTAAACTATATAAATAATATAACCTATATATAACACAAAAAGTCTGTTCAATAAATTTAAACTGTGCAAGAATAAAATTTGCAACTTGGGGTAGATTAGGGTAATATGAGCACCTTGGTAATATGAGCATACTTAAAGATTTATTAGATGTAAGCAGTGAAGTTAAAGTTGCTTTATGTTTTTCGAATCGACTTTATGTGGTGATAACAGAAATCAGTACAATTAGCGTAAATTTATAGGCAGTAATTAGCGGATATTATCTAATTAAAACGCTTTTAAACTTTTTGCTTTGTTAAAAAAAAACATCACGCGTGAATAATTTTGTGGCGCGATATTTTGGTGCCAAAATAATGAAATTATTTTTTTTGTAAAGAAAAATATATTTGCTAAAAATCCAATTCATTTTTGTTTGAAAAATAATGCTTAGAAACATTTATTTTTGACTTTATTTAAAGATACCATTTTTGTGTAATATGAGCATGCTCAAATTACCCAGTGCTTTTCATTATAAAATTGCTTAGTTTAAAGTCCTAAAATAGCAGTGGTTTTTAATTGCTTCTTGAATAAAAACAAAACATAGTAAAAAATGGTAATATATTAACAATACTAAATATTTTTCTGTAACTTAAATCTGAAAAATTTTAATTTTTATTGTTCGAAGGTTTGAGTTAACAAAATTGAAAAAAACAATATTAATTTTTTTTTTTTTGGCGGAAAACATAGTAGTATTGTTTCAACAAAATGTAGTTTAAAATTTGATCTTTTAATGATATGTTTTGTTAATCACGAATCCTTATACTCCAACAATTAGTTCTATTAAGCAGGTTGGTCTTTTTTTACTTAATTAATGCTATTTTTTTGAGCTGATTTAAAGTGCTCATATTATCAAGGGGTTAAGGTAATACGAGTACTTTTGCTACTTTTTTAAAACCTCTGTGCTTTTAAGAAAAAATGTCAAGTGCCCAAATATCTAAATAGATTATGAATAGGGATCCCTAAAAATTGTTTATTTGCAAAAATTTTGGATCCAGCATATTTATTTTCAAAAATATTCCAATTTTTGCTTAAGGTGCTTATATTACCTTAATCTACCCTATTAGAAATTTCCAAAATTTCATACAACATTTCCTTTTTCTAAAAAAACCTCAACAATGCAAAAAATACACGGAAAGCAATACAAAAAATAGATAACATAATAAAAAATATATATATATCAAACCATCCGCACCAAATAAATCTTGCAACAAATCTTTCAAACCTAATTGTAACACTATCTCAGACAGTAATACCGTTGCTCACATTTTCAACAACTGCTATAAAAAATACAATGCCCACCCAAAGGTAAAAAGATTTTTTCTAAACGTATTTTCTCTGGCTATTTAAAAAACTTGATTTTTTTCCTAACCAGTGACCGAAAATGAGATTTCTGATTTAATAAAAAAAACAAATACAAAACGGTATAAGTTTAGATCGAAATAGTATCCCTACACACCTTCTTAAACTTATTTCTGATGTTATTGTAAGCCTTTCTGTACCATATTGAAAAACATATTTAGTTAAGGCTAGTTTTATTGCGCATTCCATTGCACATTCTTCCATCTAGTGCATTATCTGTCCGCTTTTTTATGGTATCTCTCTAATTTGACTTCTTTCGACTTTTACTCGTTTATTTAACTCGTTTTTCTTAAACTCACTGACTTTCAGTCTGCAAACCGGGTTATAATGCTCTTTAGTGAGCTAAACTTGTCTTCGCAGGCCTGTGTATGTGCCCTATATATGACAATTAGCCATATATAGGCCGAATACACAGATAACTTTTTCCAGATGTTTTTAAGATAGCCAAAGTAATTGCTATCCATTAAACTGGTTCTCTAATGGACCACACAAAATAATGATCAATTTCTTTTTTTAATCTAACATTAGCAAAATATTTGAAAAAGCTATGCACAACAGAATTTATAGCGGAGTTATGTCTCTTCAAACATCAGTATGGATTTTGTAACATTCCACAACTCGCGTACCTAATAAAATAGCTGAATCTATTAGAAAAGCTCTTGGCAATAAACTTTTTGCATGTGAAATTTTTCTTGACTTAGAGAGAACCTTCAATTCTATTGATCAGTCCATACTCCAAAGTAAATTGGAACACAACGGTTTACGAGTTAATGCTTTCCTATGGTTTTTATCATATCTTCTTAATAAATCGCAATTTGTCTCCATCAATAAAACTAAATCTTTCCCAATAAAATGCTTTACATGTGTACCCCAAGGTTCTATAGTAGCACCATTATTTTCCCTTATTTTTATAAGTGATTTTAATATCTTTCTAAAACTTTCAACAGCTTACCATTTTGGCGACCATACCAACTTACTTATGAAAAAATGATACCAACAAATCATGAAAAAAAATTAAAAAGCATACTTAATTTGATTTATCCAATATACTTTAACGGCTGCGATCAAGCAAACTGAGTTTTAAAACCAACAAAACTAAACTCATTATTTCCAAATCAAGTCAATCTAAAGTGTATAAAAACCTAAAATTAGACTATGTAGTCAAAAAATCTTTTCTGTAGTTTTATAAAAGTATATTTGAATCATAATTGACTCAAATCTATCCTTTTCTTCTCATCTTAAAAAATTAGCGGCCGAATTGCGTAAATGGGATGCTAGCCAAAATTCTAAAAAAATGGGATGCTAGCCAAAATTCGTCGCTATGTCAATCAGGAAACTTTACTCAATATATACCATGGAATTTTTGGGTCACATCTCAGTTTTGCTTTTTTGGTGTGGGGACAAAATAAGTCTCATGCTTTTTTATGATTATCGAACCTAAAAAAACAAGGCATCCTTTTTCTTTGTATCAAAAATGCTTTAATTGCATGATCTCGTTTATCTAATAAATTGTCTATTTGTCTGGAATCATAATCAAGTAAACCTTCCTCCGTCATTCTCCACTTTAAGCCTCCTTTTTAAGCAAAATATCTTTAAATGTCCTCCCTTAAAAATATAATTTAGCTATAAAGTTTTTAGCTTGATAAGTATCCCACTATAATATTTAGTTCTTTGTGAATTATAGCGGCTTTAGATATTGAATCATTTTTGTCACTTTGAAAATTCCGCGCACAATTGTTCTCTTATATTTATATCTAATTGGTTTAAACGTAAGATATAACCTTCAAATTCGAATGAAAGTAGTTTAACTTTTAATAGTTTTTTTATATAATAATAAAGTGATTTCTTAACTAATTATTAACTTAAAAAGTTGAAAGTTGAATGATTCAGGAAAACATGAAAATCGGAGAGAGTTCCAAAGGGTTGAAGTGCAGGGTAAAAACTAGCCAAAAAAAGGTTTTCAGAGCATGCAGATACAGATACAGTAAAACATCAGACTTTGCTGAATGAGTTATAGTTTACAACAAAAAGAGTTTTTGTATTTAAGAAAACGGGTGATCTACTCACGTGCTTAACAACAGAATTCAACATTTTGTAGATTCCATGGATATTAACGTATAGAAGATGCTCTTTAAGATATATCAATATTTCTCAATTTATTCAGTTCGTGTAGAGTCTTTAAACAATTTTTGTACTTTTTTAGAATTTGCCTACCGAAAGATTAAACTATTCAGTATAAGTCGTTGGTTATCATTGGTTAACTCGCTATCATATGCATTTCAGTAGAACGTACTTAAGTTAGAAGCAGATTCTAATTGCCTTTTGAATACAATAGAGATTTTGAAATATAAATTAGATCTACTTAAAACTCCTATTAAAGCTAAGTTCTTTTTCTTTAAATTACGCAATCTCCGAAAAAACAAAGAACTTTAACCAAACAAAACATTAAAATTATAAATGAATGCTTTTAGTATGAACCAAAATGATTTAGATATTTTAAACTCATGGACCGAGGATGAAACGCATGAACGGGAGATTTCAATCATTTAAAACATTTTCCTGTCCTTGTCCAAAAACGATTTAGTTTGGGAGAAAGTCAGTATTAAATTTGAGTATTTAAAGGATAAAAATGTTTGCATAGACAAAAAATAAAAATTAAACAATTAAACAATTTCTTAAATTGCAAAAGTTCTATAAAGACCACCTATCGAAAGAAACTGTCGACAAATAATGGTTGCAATGTTTCAAGATTGTAATGATACCATACAAGTATTCGGAAATTATAAAGATGGTCCAATATATGTTTGCAATATTAAGTCAAAATGCAACCGTTAAAACAATATTCAGTTAAATTGAGGCTCAATCGACAGAGAAAAGAAACAGATAGGCAGCGGAGATAACCAAACATATAACCATGGTGAAACTTAGTTTCAACTTCAGTGATGATATTGTATCAATATTATTATTAATGTTGTTATCGTTATTATTACTAATGTTGTTATTATTGCTGTTATTGTTGTTGTTAATATAATTATTATCATCGTCATCGCAATATATCTATTCGTTTTAAGTGTTCCTTAGATATGACTACGGAACACTCGAAACCCCCTTGAAACAGTTATATTACCTATAGGTAATATAATTGTTTCAAGGGGGCTGTAAACATTGCAAAGTCATAACTACGGAACAAATAAAACTATTTAGTAATATTTAAAATGTAATGTCAAAAAAAATTTTTTATTCAAATTAGTAAAAATAAAAAAAAGCAAATATATATATATATATATATATATATATATATATATATATATATATATATATATATATATATATATATATATATATATATATATATATATATATATATATATATATATACATTATCGAACTAAAAAGATTGAATGAAAAATTAAAAAAAAAAAAAAATTAGATCTAATAGTCATAAAAAGTGGATTTCAGGTGTAAATATCTTTTATATAAAATAACTCGTTATTTATAATCTGCAGCCAATCCACGAGGAGCACGCTTTAAATGCTCTCCAATGAATCTATCTATTACTTCTCTTGTGTTAGTTTGAGATACAAGTGCAGCTAAAAAATAAGGAACAAAATGTTAATTGCTTTTTATCAAACACATTTATTTGTCATTTTCTTTAGACTAGTTTTGTTATTTCTATGTTTTGTAAGTAAGTAAATACTACAAAGAAAAATCTAAACATTTTTAAAACAGAAAAAATACTTACCTAGTATTGCCTTATATGACAAAGTAATCTTAAACGATTTATACACCTACTTACTAGTTGCGAAGGTGACTGTCCACCCAGTTGTTTTAAACGACTAACCTAAAATATTTAAAAATGAATATTTTATTTTTTGAATGAATATTTAAAATTAGTTTCATTGATCTATAATTTCAAATTTTGACAAGTGATTTTGCTAAATTAATGGCCAGTTTTATAAAAACCAAAACTAATAAAAAAAACATACCAGAAGAGTATACTCATTTTCATCAACCAACTTTCTATCGAACTTTTCAAATTCTTCCATGGTGTCAAACTTTGTAAGATGGAAACTTGAATCTGCTGGCTCTATTCTCCTTCCTAACCGTTCCAATGTAGTAACAATATCTGCCTGACCAGCTTTAATAGCAGCCAACTCCATAAACAATCCATACTGCATTCCTAAAATAAAAACATTAGAATAGTTTAATCAGCAATTAATACATTAGTCCAACACTTTTTGCAATCGTATCTTATGGAACAAATCATTTCTAGATCTTTAACACATATTTTTAAACAAAAATGATTTTCAAAATATATAATGCCTAGCAGAGGTAAAAAAGAAATTAAAAAAACTTACGCCTCTGATCCATTAACTTAAACGAAGAAGGTGGGTCACCATAATTTCCAAAACGACATGTTTGACTGGATTTTGGTTGGCAGAGTGACAATGATGCATCTTTGTGACAGAGAGTGGAATTTACATTGAGCATGCAATGAGATGAAGTGTTTTGTTTCAATGGAGATCTCCTTGGGGATTGATTACTAATACTGTTAGAAGCTGATGTTTGAAAATATGAAGCAGATGCAGTATAGTTGTGTTTGGTTACAGTATTCTGACTAGTCAACGAATGTTTTGATTTTTTTGTTTGTTGGATTGCAACTTTTAAAGGACTGGAATGTGAATCAGAAGAACAGCTTTCGCTTTCATTAGAATATTCTTTAGTCCTTCTTTTGCATTGGTCGGATTTAAAATTTTTACTACTAAACTTTGGTATTCTTTTGATGACAAGATCCGGACTAGGCTCGCGGATCATTTCAGATGTTTCTAGTACAACACCTAAAAAGTGGTCAATAAAATCAAATGAATGGGTTATTATTTGCAGTTTTATACTAAAAAAATAATTTTCACTTAGCAATGCAAATTTATCATAAAATAAGATGCAATCCAAAGAAAGAAACAAAATACAAAAACCTTGAAGAACCAAAAACAGAAAATTGAAACACTTAAAAAGACATCTACCTGCAGGAGGACACTCTGATAATTCTGAGTCTATGTTCAAGCATACATTGCACATTTCTTTAGTGCCTTTACTTAAAGAAACTTTTATTAGAGGAAATTGTTGCCAATTTGGACAAGGAGAAAGCCATTTTGATATATAGTAGTGTAGGGGATGTTCTCCAACTGGAGGCCAGTACACACATTTTTCATCTTCCTCCACCCAATGAAACGGAACCATGCACTTTTTATGAAAATTATTTTCATTAAGAGTTACAACTGAATAAAGCTTTTTGATTGGGCTAAAATAAAACATTTAATCTACTATTAGCCACACACACATCTCTCTCTCTCCCCCCCCTCTCTCTCTCTCTATATATAGTTATATATATATATATATATATATATATATATATATATATATATATATATATATATATATATATATATATATATATATATATATATATATATATATATATATACTTATATATATATACTTATATATATATACTTATATATATACTTATATATTAATGAATTCTATTTATTTTATAACTTAGTCTCATTTATTCTTATTTTTGAAAATTAACATTTTGTCTAGAGGAAAATGGTAATTTTCTGTCAATGGAAATAATTAATAACACACGTTTATAAAAACAAGATTAAATTTTTTGACTGAAAATCTTCAACCATGAAACATAAATATAAAATGCTATGACTATTATCAAAAAAATATAATTGTCTATAACTGTCTTGTATCAACATAGTGAACTAGAGCTGATATAACAAATCCATTATGTGTAGGCATGCAGACACACTTCCGCAAAATATCGTGTTTTTGCTTGACACAAGGAGTAGAAATAGCATTTTTGCGTAAGAAAAATATGTCAATATCCTTTGATTGCACAAAATCAGTAAAAAAATTGTCCAAAGAATGCTTCTTGAATTTAATGCAATGAAATTGATCACCAACAACGTTTTTAACAAATACAACACTTGAGTTAAATATAAAACAATTATCTTTATCAGAAACACTAATGCGGAAAGTGTTTTTTGGTGTTTGATGAAAATCATTCAGCTCGTCAAGTCTTTTGGCCACTTGTATCAATGGATTTCTTGTTCCACTGATCATTTTTTTTAATTTTTGAAGATAATTTTCAAACTTAAATGCGGAGAGATTATCCAGAGACACACCATAATTCTGAACATCTTCACAAAGGTGCAAAAGACTGTGTACATTATAGACACAAAACAAATGGCCATACACATCTACTGAATTAGTTACAAAGTATCTTAGTAAGCGTTCTGCATTCTGAAGATTTGAGTTGCGAGTAGCATCATCACTTTCGCACAGAAATCTTATAGCAAGGCACAGACTTAAAAAATGTTTGTAAACAGAATTATCAACAACATCTTTAAGGGCAAAAATACCAGTGTAAAGCAAAAATGAGTGCAATTCTGTAGCTTTCCATCTATCTAACTCAACAAGACTCCGTGGCTGTCTAACAAAGTCACTTGGGAGTTTACCATTCAAACTGGTAAGCTTCTCAGACACCTGGTTGACCATGTTGGCTGATAGTTTACCTGAACTTGTGCCTTTGATACTGCCCTTTAGAAAATATAATATTCTCCGCATAACACCGAGACAAACAAGATGCATATAATCAAGCAGAAACATACTCACAAAACCAATGGGCTCAACATCATGTAATGGACTTTTGCTGATTTGGTGAGATCTATTATTATCATCTTTGAAAAAGTAACCATTTGTCCGAAAGATCTGGTCTGTTCTTAAAATAACATTTTTTTCATGGTGGGAAAAAACAATACGATTTTTTAAACTCCTTCCTACCATTGTACATCTTTCGCATGAGTGGAAACCACAATGACTAATGATTCCTTTTAACATTGCTCTAGCAGGAGCATCGCAAACAAATGCATAAACAGTAACAATGTAATCAATGTTATTGACATGAAGAGCATTATGTTGCAATTCATTTAACTCATTTACTAAGGCACACAAATACACATCACATGGTGGCTTTTTATTACCACAATATAAACCAACAACAAATGGTTCCATTCTTAAAATTGAAGCAAGTATTGGCCATAGTTGGGTAGAGTTTGATTTGAACAAAGGTATTCCATCAATATTAAAAGTTAAATAAAGAGAAGTTTCTTTGATTGATTTGGAAGAAATTTGTTTTTCAATTTGTGTTTTTTAAACCAAGTAAATATAGTCACCGTAACCTTCAATATTGATACTTGCAATACTTCTTTTTGTTTTTAATAATTGTTCTAGATTCTAATGGTACACTTTGCTTACACTCCAAAAACAACTTTAATGCACCATTAATACATTGCCTTGTACATCTATGTGTAAGAGCCCAACAACGCAGTTTAGAACATAAGCTTTTATCATAAATTTTATTTTCATCTTCTTTATTACCATAAGAAACACTTTCTGAGGAAGTTAAAGAAACATCTACTTCACTATTGCAATTGCTCAAATCACTTTTAATAAATAGAAAATCATTATCTTCTACATCATTTGAAATATCTGTAAAACTATCATCACTTTGTTCATTTCTTGTTACCTCTGAAGAACTTTGTGTAGATACAGACATCTGTATAACAGCTAACCTCCTTTTTCTCCATAATGATACTGAACTGAAGACATAAACAAGATTTAAAGTTTTTAATTTTTTTCGTGCAAATTTTAAGTTTATTCATGAAACAAAACCAGCAAAAAAAATAAATATTTATAAAAAATACATAACTGAAAAATACATTAGAGCCTTAAAAATATCTATGGTACAGGACAAAACAAACAGAAAATATAAAATAACTTGTCATCATCACATGAGTCACAAAAAAATACAACGAGAGTAAAAAGTCTATTTTTCTCAACATTATTCAATAACCTTATAAGTTATAAAGTTATTGGGTCTTACTACTAGTAAGATTAATGTTAAATTTATTAGGCTACATGGACAAATGATAAGTTCTGCATAAAATAATATTGACTAGGAAGACCCAATTATATTGTTTTGTCATATTTCATGCAGAACTTATCATTTGTCTATGCAGCCTAATAAATTTAATGTTAAATAAGTTGTAGTATAACTTATTTAGTATTAAGTAAGGTAAGCTACATAGACAAACTCGACAGTTTAAAATAACCAATAATACTATTATTAATAGGATACTATAATTAATAGGACTATTATTAATAGGATAAAAAAAAGTATACCTTGTACTAGGGTTTGATCTTTTGCGTGTGGCTATATAATAATTATCTGCCATAACGTATCTACGATTTTGATTAATTTAAATTGATAACACTTAGAATCTAAGTTTTATAATAAAAAGTGTTATAATCTAAGTTAGATAACATATATAGATAATATATAAGATAAAAAATTAGATAATATATAAGATTTAGATATTATTATGTGTTGAGTTAAAATATTATACGTGACTTTTTGTTGCGTCCAAAATGCAGAGCGACGTTATATTATAAAATATTATAAAGACTGATCCTTTTTTTTCAATTATTATAAAACTACAATGAAAAAAAATTATGTTATCAGTAAAGTTTAGTAAAAAAAATTATAAAAATGAATATATAAACCAAATTACAAAAAATTAGTAAATATAATAAAGAATATCTTTCCAAGTTTCTAATCGCAGGTTTTTATTGCAAATAAAAAAGTTCCGAAAACAACGATATCTTGGCAACGTGACTTTCACGTTTTTTTCACGTAAAATAGTCACTTGGACGAGGTCACGTAAAATACACGTGATTAAGACGTGAATAAAACGTTAACCACTAACTAAAGCGCGCTAACCACTGTGCTACGGCTGCTCAAATAACTTATATTACGTTCGAAAAAACATAAAACTAAATAAATATTATGAAAAAAGTTTTTATTATAATATAATCAAAGATTTTTTTTCGGCTTCAAAAAAAAGTTTTTTTTGAGGAAGTTCTTGTTTTACTTTTCCTTTTTTACATGTTCTTTTCGAAGCGCCAAAAAAGCAACAAATATATACATAAATATTTCTAACAGTAAACAAATATATATTTTTACTGCTGATATTTATAATAATGTACTTTCCATTTTACTTCAAAATATTAGGAGCTAATAAAAAGGATTAAAGATTTTTTGTTAAGCATTAAAAATACTTTCAAAGTAACTTGCCTCGCTAACCGCCCCACTTCAACACTATAACTTACCTGATTGAATTAATACTTGGGTGACGCCAATTGACGATATTTCATTGAAAACATATAATCTTAAAGTTCTAAGTATGTAATACGTTGGTGCATGCTGCGACACATGAAAAATATTTTTCAGTAACCATAGTAACTATTATAATTTAAAATAAACTTTTTCAAGTTTTTAGTAGTTAGTATAAATTGCACGAAACAAATGTGAAGGAATAAAATGCGCCATTTTTTTTAGTGACTGTAATAATATATTTTTAATTTTATTTTTATTGTTAATTTTATTGTTTTTTTTTGTTTTTTTGTTTGTTTGTTTACATTTTACATAATATATATAAATTACATATTTCTCAAATACAAACAAGGCTTCTAAAAGAAGATCACAATGATCTTATCGTCAGAAGCCTTTTACAAAAGTAGTACGCAAAATATTATTAAAAAAAAAAACGTTATTACAATGAGCACGTAAAAATAACATAAAAACATTAGATCGTACCATGGAAGTAAAAAACAGAAGGAAGTTCATCGAGCCGCAAACATCAAAGCAATTTCAAGTCGTCTCGGGAGTATGCTTGTAACCGACAAAAAAAAAGTTTCACTGGATAAAAAAACAACAAAATTCACTGAAATGATCTTTATTAAAACATTAAAAAATGAATCATTCTAGGGATATGCTGAAAATTTATAACCATTAGTAATTGCAATTATTCAAAAAAAGTTTTATTAAAACTCGGTAATTAAATAGAACCACTTCATTTTAAAAGCATATGTTAGTTTAAGCTTCTTTTCTTGCTTCAAGTCATGACACGACATTTGATAAAAAAGACAACTAAAACAATTTTTAAAAAATCAAAAAAATTGTTTTTTAAATAACTTAAGTTTAAAGTTTTATTAGATGTATATCATAACTCCATTCATTTTTGTAGTACTACATTCATTTAATATAAAGTTTATATAAAAATTGTTGTTTGCCGTTACGTTGCGCCATTTTTAATGTTTTTCTTGAATATTATTGGTGAACCTTCAAAACACTATATTTTTAAACTATTATAAACGTAGCTATTTGCGTCAACGTATAAAGATTAAGCGTTTAAGTACAGTCTTGATGTCGTTTTCTTATTCTTTACGAAACAAAAGGTTACAAGCATAGTCCCGAAGAATTTCAATTCGGTTGAACTTCCATCTGTTTTATACTTCCATGATCGTACTTAGATAAATAAAAATTAATCGTAAACAAGTAAAAATAAAACTTGAAAATAAAAATTATTTTTTTATCACAAGATAAATTAAAAATATTCTAAGATATTTTCAAAAGAGAATGAGATCTTTTAATTTATTTTTGAAAACAGGGTAAGTTAGTGGTAAGTCGAAGTTGGGCAAAATAATTTTGTTCCAGAGATGAGCTGCACGATAAGTGATACAAAATTGATTGAACTTTGTTCGACAGAGTGGTTCATTTAAATAATTATTATTTCTCATGTTAAACTTGCTTAATGGTTTCAAAATAAAAAGGTCTTTAAAAATTAAAGGAGATAAATCATACTTCCACATATAAACAAAAGATAAATTTTTATATACGTTTAGTTTATATATATCGAGTATTTTCATTTGATTAAAAAATATTGAGGAACGTGCGAACCGATCCGCAGAATTAATTAAACGGATCGCATGTTTCTGACGGCGATAGAGACATTGTAACTTGCTTTGATTTGTGCTACCCCAGGCAATAACTCCATAACTTATATAACTATGAATAAAAGAGTAATAAAGTTTTGTTAAATTATTTTTATCTAAATGAGTACGCGCCTTATATAAAATTCCGATACTTTTTGAAACTTTCGAGCAGACATAGTTAATATGATGTTTCCGTGTGATGTTCTCGTCAATGAAAAATAATTTTATTTTTTTATTATACTTAAATAAGTAAAAAATGTAGCAAATACATTCCGACACCTTTAGTCATTTTATTCAACGTTTTTCCCAAACAAAGTTAATCAAACGCAAGTCGTAACAAATTTTATAATAGTAACTTCTAAACAGTTTTATATTAATCACCCAAGAATACCATAATTCAAAAATAGTAATAACTCATAATAAATATAAGATTTAACTTATCAAGTTACATTTAAAACATGTTTACAACATGTTGCTGTTTCGAAAAAAATATTTTGTTTTTCTTTTTATACTTAAATAAGTTAAAAAGTAGCACGTACATTCCTACACATATACCTTTTTTCTCGGGTATATATATTACATATATATATATATTCCTACACCGTTTTTATCACTTTATTTAATGTTTTTCTCAAATAAAATTGATCAAACGGAAATCTGGTGGTGGAAGAATAAAGGCTTTCAGGATATAAATCTGACTAGAAAACTGATTAACAGTTTTAAGAATACAAAGCCTTAAAACAAGCCTCAAGGCTTGTTTTATACAAATTTGTAGTTATATATATACTTAAACAAATTTATACAAGTTTTATAAAAATTTATAGTTATACTTAAGCAACGTTATATTTTAAAATAGCGCAAATTTCCGCAACCGCAAATAAAATGTGTCACTAAAAATGCGTCACTAAAAATAATGCGTCACTAAAAATAAGTATACGTGGATACATGTATTTAGTGTATTAGTTATGTGAACCGCATTATGTGTTCCACAATTGGGCCACACTTATCTTCATTAAATACGTCATCAACTGTAATATATTTTTCCACTTTTAATCCACACGAAAGCACAATGTCCACATGTGGGCCTCATATACCTTTCTTCTCGGGTATATATATATATATATATATATATATATATATATATATATATATATATATATATATATATATATATATATATATATATATATATATATATATACATATATATATATATATATATATATATATATATATATATATATATATATATATATATATATATATATATATATATATATATATATATATATATATATATATATATATATAGGAAACCGAAGGAAAACATGGGAGAAAAGCGAAGAACTGATTAAAAATCTACTGAGAGAAAAACTGGATATTAAAGAAGGTATACAAATTGAAAGAGCGCATCGTGCTGGAAGAAAAGAACACGAAGAAGGTAAACGTACAAAGCGAACTATTGTTGTCAAGTTTCTCAATTTTAAAGATCGTAAAAACATTCTCGAAAAATACAAAAAAAAGAAATTGTGGAAAGAAAACATGTATATAAACGAAGATTTCAGCGAGCGGACAACTGGTATTCGAAAACAACTTTTCCGTCAAGCTAAAGATGTACGAGCATCAGGTAAATTCGCTAAAGTTGTGTACAATAAAATAATTACTAAGCCGTCTTAAAACAAATTATATCCACGGTTATTTATAACAGAATAAAAAAAGTAAATAATAATAAAAAATAAATTCAAAAAATAATAATTATTTTGAAAATGCTTTTAAATTTTTTCAAATTAATGATTTTAAATCGGATGACGATTCCAATCCAGACATAAATAACTTTAACGAAAATAATTTGCCTGAATTAGTATGCTTTTATTTTCAACTAAATGAAGTTAATAACTTTATAGGAGTGGATAATAAAAGTGATTATTTTAATGTCATTCATGTGAATATTAGAAGTTTAAAAAAGAATTTGGAAAATTTTTTAAATTTAATTGACGAAACGAACAATTGTTTTAACGTAATTTGTGTAACCGAAACTTGGTGTTCTAAAATAGATTTTGAATCAAATTCTAATCTCCTTCTCCCAGGTTTTAAAGAAATTTTGTTAGAACGAAAGAATAATAGGCGAGGAGGAGGAGTACTTCTTTAATTGATATGAGTGTTTCTGATACGATATGAGTGTTTCTGATACGGATCAAGAGATCTTAACAATTGAACTAATAAACAAAAATTCTAAAAGCATTTTAATCAGCTGTTGCTATAGGCCACCAACTGGTAGAACAGAAAATCTTAGTAAATTTTTGAAATACAATCTAATTGAAAAAACTAGTCAAGAAAAAAAAAAAAGTTATATTTTGGGTGACTTCAATTTGGATTGTTTTGAATATAAAGAAAACCAAAACATAAAAACATTTTATAACAATTTATTTGAAATGGGAAACATACCAATAATAGATAGACCGACTAGAATTACAAACCATTCGTCATCTTTAATTGATAATATATTAACCGCAGACTGTTTTAACAAATCTTTAAAAAAAGGAATTATAATAACTGATGTTTCAGATCATTTTCCCGTATTTTTTTCTATTAAATCAGAACATCAAATAAAAAACGAGGATAAAATGACAATAAAAAAGCGAATTGTGAACAATTGTAACTTAAAGATCAAATTTCACAGCAGGACTGGAATCACATAAACTTTAATGATAACATAAACATTATCTATAACACATTTTTTAAAACTTTCTTTATAATCTATGACGCTAATTTTCCAATATATGAAATAAATCTCAAGGCCAAAGACATATTGTCTGATAACTAAGGGACTAAAAAAGTCTTCAAAACTAAAACAAAAATTGTATAATAAATACTTAAAAACAAAATCTGAAAAACATCAACAAAATTACAAAAACTACTAAAAACTGTTTGAAAAACTCCGCAAAAATGCTAAAAAAAATTATTATTCTAAATTGCTTACTCAGCACAAACATAAACGCGTCTGGGAATTAATGAAAGAAATTAAAGAAAAGCAAAAAGTAATTTCAACTTCTCTTCCACTTGCAATAAAAGTTGGAAATAAAATAACTAATAGTTTTAATGAAATTGCGACTGAATTTAACACATTTTTTTCCACTACAGGAACAAATTTATCAAACAAAATCCCTTTATTAAATTATAAATTAACAGATGAACAGATGAATTAACAGTCAAACGTCAAACTCCTTACATTTTACAAACCTAACGCTTGAGGAATTTGATACAGCTTTTAGATCGTTAAAGGAATCCCAAACTCCCAACACATGTTGTGTTCATATTAAAGATAATGTTTAAAAAAAAGGAACCAAATTTTTTTGATTAAAAATAGATAATGAATGCATACCGTGAAAAACAAATGTTGTTGTTTTTGCAGAAGCTCGTCCTCTCCATTTTTTTCAACTAATCGGAGTCTTCAAATTATGCGTCGCAATCTACAGACTTTGGCAATTCTTTTGAAGCGCGTTTAATTCATAAAAGTTTTAGTATTTGACGTCACGGTAGACTTTTAATAAATTAAACTCTAGAAATATTTTTATTTATTTTTAGTCGAAGTTTTTTTGATTATTTGTTTAGTTTTTTTTTTTTTTTTTCTACTTTTAATATTTAAAAAGATATTAAAAACCTTAAATATTTTATGCTGGTTCGTTGCTATAAATTGTTATTGCGCCATATATTTAATGTTTATAAATTATGAATATTTATTATATCAATCAAAGTTTAATAGTAAATTTTCTTTGAATAAGTGAGAATTGGAAGAGAAAATTGCTTGAAAATTTGTATTTGTTAATTGTATTTTTAAAAATTTTTAATTTTTCATGTTAAGAGACAAATGCCACAAATGTTAAGAGAAAAATGCCACAAACGACACAAATTTGGAAATACCAAATATAATATGTTTTTTAATTCGCGTTATGACATTTTAACAATTTAAATTACCATTTATCTTGAATTATTGCCTTTAATTAATGTGTTAATTATTGCGTTATTTAATAATAATTTGTCCGTATTTTTGTTAAATATTAGTTGTATAAAACGGGCGAAAATATACAAACTTTATGTTTTTTATTTGATGGTTATAAAATATTGAACAGTAAACTTATAATCAAAATTTCTAATGCCGACTTGTGTTGCAATTAGTTGTACTTTTAATGCAAAATCAGGATCTCACAAATCCTTTCACGAATTTTCATATCTGATACTACTGTCAACTGTATTGTTTAGTGTATTCTTGCACTTTTTTTTCATAATCTTAACAGGTTCTAATTGGTATAGAGTTGTTGACACTTTAAAAATTTCGTTATCAAAAATCAAATGTAAAATAAAATGGTATTTCCTTTTTATCCGTATCCAATTCAGCAAATTTAGCAATTTAAATTAAATCAGCGTGATCAAAAAAATTTTATAATAAAAAAAGTTAACAATTCATTAAATATCTCTAATTAATACTGTCAGTTTATGAAAGTAATTGTTAATAAATACTTTTTTTCGACGGGAAAACAAAAAATTGTCATAGCGTAAAAATAACCAGAGAAGTTAGAAAATAGTTCCCTTTGTTTAAATAAAAATAATTAAGAATCAGAATATATAATACTGCGCTCTCTTGCGCAAAAACAAGAGACCGTATATAAAACGTTCTATATAAAGTAAAATACTCGTATGAAAATCATGAGATTGGTAAGTAAAGCTTTAATATTTGTTTCAATTAAAATAATTAAAGAAATATAAGTAAGATATATAAATCTAAAAATTATTAAGATATCTGTAAAAAATAAGTTGCTCCTATAAAATAAAAATAATTTATTGTTTTTACTTTTTACAAAATTTTTTTTGCGATGTTTGCAGAGACGTATTTACGGGGGGCCAGGGGGGCTTTGGCCCCCGGGCGCCATGTTTTGACAGGGCGCCAGCTTTCAGAATGTTAGAATTTTAGAAAATTGTAAAATATATTTATATTATTATTATGTTCAAATCATAGACCTACTTATCGACTTACTAAATATCTCTAGTTGATTTTAGAAAAATTTAGTTAGCAGAAGAAAATATCAATCAAAAGGAGATCAAATTAAACTTGCAAATTATACATAATTATGCGCCAATTATTCATCTAAAAATGTTTATTTGATACTGAAAGTCACGTGTCTAAACAAATTATTTATTTATTATAAATATTTTAATGATACGGTATGTAGCGATAGCTTAACGGTTAAGCTCATCACTCTGACGCTGGCGCTCCGAGGTCTACTCCTACGAGTGTTCTTATTTAATATACTATCTAATCTTGATATAAATTAAATTTATATTTTTTTTTGAATAAATGATTTATAATTTTTATTAATCAAATACTTGATCCTTATTTATTAATTAGTAAATAATATACAAGAAAAAAATAAATGGTGCGTTTTACCTAACATTTTCATTTTACTCTTAATTGACTTTATTAACAGAAATACTTAGGTATAGACACAGCTATTTACTTTTAAAAAATGAAATAGTTCTTCAAAGATTCTCTTTACATTTTCTAAAAAAAAAAAACTCTTTAAAAATACTTTAAACTTTAAATAATCAGTTTGTTTTTTAATTTATTTTTATATAATTTGAAGTGATGAGCAGAATAAATTACGCATTAATTATATTAAATTAGCAATTTGACTTTGATCGCCTTTTTTGCTAACCATCTTGTATATACCACGTGTGCACAATATAATTTTGAATTTTTAAGATTGCTGTCAGTTTTTTTTATTGTTGGCCTAAGTATTTTGTTCTTCGGTATGTTGTCTGCTTAATCCCTTGTATTACAGTATACAGTCTTAAAAAAGGTAAATATTCGTATTTCGATTATTGTTTTTAGTTTTAGTATTAACATTATTGTTATCATATATATATGATAACAATATATATATAATACACATTTTTTAGGATTCTTATTTTAAAAAGCAATGATGATTCATAGTAAAAAGCTTAGTGGCGCAGAAAACCGAAAACGAACCCATGCAAAAAATGAAGCTCAAGCAAAAATACTTTTAAAGACTGCTAAGTTAGAAACATATTTTAGCTTTACAGATAAACAGCTTCACACATTGCCGAGTAAGTTTATTTTGCTAGAAAACCATACATTTTATTAATTTTGCTTTCTAGCAAATATATATACATATAGGTACATATTGTTCTGTTATTTATTGTTTATACTTCATATTGTTATGTTATTTATTATTAAATGTAAATAATTTATATCTAAAATGTAGATATGTGTAGTAATCGTTATTTATGCTTTCATTTGAAAATGTAAATAATACAAGCGATGAAAATGATCACAGCTTTATTGTTAATGAGAATAACCTATCAAATCCAGACGATTTAATATTAATATTATCAAGTAAGAGCTGTACTGAAACTAGTAAAACTCTATTGACTCCAGAATCCAAAGAACTAAATGAAACACCCTGTTTGTCCATGCATGAACATAACAAGCCCGAATGTTTATTGTAAAATCTTTATTTAAAATTTGATATAATTTATAAATAATATCTTTTGGTACATGCATGTTATACAAAATTTATTATATTTTTCTCTATAGAAACCAAAATGATCACAGATTCACTGTTAATAAAGATAATCTAACAAATCCAGACAATCTTATATTACTAAATAACAGCAGCACAGAAACGAGTAAAACTCTATTGTCTACAGAATCGGAAGAAATAAATGATACACCACGTTTGCCAATGGTTGAACATAACAGTCTTCCTAAACAAAGTATTGTTCCTGAGTAAGCTTTTTTTAATTTTTTTCATGGTAGGTTACAATTATAAACATGTACAAAGGTAGACTATTTTTTTAAGTCGCTTGTCATGTAAAATTATGCTGGAAATTAAATTATTAACAAATATAGTACACTCTGTACATTTTAAACAATACCTATATCCTCTAGTTATATTATATTATGCATTTATCTCTATTACCTAATGCTTGAATGTTTTTTTTATACAATTTGTTATAAACTTTGAATAATATTTTTTGGTTTTTGTATATTAAACAAATATATTTTCCCTTTAGAAATGATCCTGCCAATTGGATAAAAAATCAAGAAACGATAGATAGATGAACTTTAATGACATTATAAATACATTTGCAAAACAAAACTCACATAGAAAATTATAATTTTCTATAGTGATTAATATAACTTAATATATGTTGGTATAGAAAATGTTTTTTTTTTTAATGATCACCCCATGTCAAAGTTGACATTATTCTTAAAAAAGGGCGCTTAAAGGAACAGTGCCCCAGGGCGCCAAAAATTCAAATACGTCTCTGGATGTTTGGAAAAATAATACAAATAAATTTGTTTTGCTGTATGTTAAAAAAATACTACAGTAGAAAAACGCAGCTTAGTTTAATTACACTTTTCTTTTGTTAAAAGTCTACCGTGACGTCAAATACTAAAACTTTTATGAATTAAACGCGATTCAAAGGTCTGTAGATTGCGACGTATAATTTGAAGACTCCGATTAGTTGAAAAAAATGGAGAAGACGAGCTTCGGCAAAAACAACAACATTTGTTTTTCACGGTATGCATTTATTATTTATTTTTAATCAAAAAAATTTGGTTCAAACCTTTTTTTTTAACATTATCTTTAATATGAACACAACATGTGTTGGGAGTTTGGGATCCCTTTAAAAAGAAATAAATCAGTAGACCTGACGGTATAAATGGAAATATTGTAATAGACTCTTATGATGTCATGAAGAATATTCTTTACAAAATCTTTAAATCATCCATTAAACAAGGTAAAAAAATTAAAACAAGGTAAACAAGGTGAAAAAATTAAAAAAAAACATCTTTAACCAAAAAATTATACAATGATTACAAACATCTATTTGAAAAAGTACGTAAAAATTTAAAAACAATTACTACTCGAAATTAATTGAAAATGTTAAGAATGACTCTAAACGTACTTGGAAAATATTAAGAGAAATTGGTGGAAAACAAAAAACTTGCTCAGGTTCCTTACCGCAGGACATTAGAGTGGATAACCAAAAATATTTTTGAACCTAGATTAATATATTAATAGATTAATAGCTCATGAGTTTAACAAATTCTTTATTGATATCGGTTCGAAACTAGCAAATAAAATTCCTAATACCCAAATTGTGTTCAATAACTTTTTAACACCGATGGATGATTGCATTTGTTCAAATAATTTATCTTCTGAGCTATCATTTGAGGAGTTTCAAGTGTCGTTTAAATCTATTAAAAAAAAACAAAGCCCCTGGAGCTGATGAAATAAATGGAAACATAGTCTTAGAATGCTTTGAACAATTAAAAGATATTCTCTTTAAAGTTTTCAGAGCGTCAATACAACAAGGAGTTTTTCCTGATAAGTTAAAAATAGTTCTAATTTTTAAACTTCTAATCTTTTAAGTATTATGTTTGCGGATGATACTAATTTATTTTTATCTGATAACAATATTAATAAACTCTTCACTTCTATGAATGAAAAACTCAAAATAATTTCTAGCTGGTTCAAATGCAATAAACTTACCCTAAGTATTAAAAAAACAAAATGGATTCTTTTTCAGTCGATAACTAAAAAACGTTATTTACCCCCAACTCTACATAATATTTTTATTGATTATATTGAAATAAAAAGAGATTGCACCACAAAATTTTTAGGCGTATTCCTTGATGAGACAATCACATGGAAGCAACATATTGATTATGTTGGTACTAAAGTTTCAAAAAATATTGGAATTCTTTATAAGGCCAGAATCTAAATAAATAATAAAGTTTTATCCCAACTTTGTTATCCATTCATTCATAGCTATATGAATTATGCAAATATTGCTTAGGCAAGCACTGAAAAAAGTAAATTACAATCTCTCAATCGCCGTCAGAAACATGCAATACGTGTTATTAAGTTTGCTGATTGTTTTTCTCACTCTAAACATCTTTTTTCTAAGATGAGAATACTTAATATTTACGAACTTAAATTTTTAATATTTTATGCTTTGTATATATATGTAAAAACAATCTTTCTCCTGCCGTTTTTAATGATTTAATTACTTTGAAACCTGATCTACCTACTTCTTTGCATCTTTTTAAAGTTAAGCTGAAAAATCTTTTTCTCTCCCGTATTATCAAAATTTGACAATAATATTTATATTATGGAAATATTTATTAAACTTTATTATATATACTACAAAGTGATATATGTATGTATATTTTCTTTTTATTTTGTTGTACTTATAGTTACTTTATAATATAATATTTTGTTTACACTAGTATAAGGTTCTGACGATAAGATCTTACTGATCTTCTTTCAGATACCTAGTTTTTTAAAAGTTAGTAGTATTTGCTTACTTTATAATTTGTATTAATTTTTTATTTACTCTCATTATATTGTAAAAACGAACTAACAAATGTAAACTAAAATATTTAAAAAAAAAAAAAAAGTTCTTTCCCAGACTCTCTGAAAATAGCAAAAGTAATTCCTATTTTTAAAACAGGAGACCCGACCAATATAACAAATTACAGACCTATTTCTGTTCTTCCAGTTTTTTTCAAAAATATTAGAAAGAATAATGTATAACAGAGTGTACACATACCAATTACCAATAAGCTTCTTTATAAAAATCAGTTCGGTTTAAAAAAAAAACAACTCAACCGAACATGCTATTCTTTTAAAAGAATCTTATAAAAATCAAAAATTTACACTTGGTGTTTTCATTGACCTGTCAAAAGCTTTTGACACGGTTGATCATAATATTTTGCTTAAAAAACTTAAATGTTATGGCATAGCAGGTAAAACTCTAAGTTGGTTCAAAAGTTATCTCTCCAACCGAAAGCAATTTGTTTTAATAAAGATTCCCAACCTCAAACATTAATGAATATAACATATAGTGTCCCACAAGAATCCATACTTGGACCACTTCTTTTCATTATATATATAAATGATTTTAACAAAGCATCCAATTTAAAGACTATAATTTTTGCAGATGACACAAACTTGTTTCAGTCACATGAAAATATAAACCTACTTTTTAATAATATGAACAGAGAAATTAAAAAAATTTCAATTTGGTTCAAAAAAAATAGGCTATCTTTAAATATTGAAAAAACAAAATGGATACTTTTCCATCCAAACTATAAAAAACAGATACTGCCTGTAAATATGCCTAATCTTTTTATAGACAATGCCATTGTAAAAAGAGAAGAAGTGACAAAATTTTTGGGAGTTTTTATTGAAGAAAATCTGTCTTGGAAGTCACACATCAATAATATTTCTAATAAAGTTACAAAAAACATTGGAATTCTATACAAATCTAGAGGTATTTTAAACAAAAAGCAATTAACGTAATTATATTACTCTTTTATTCACTGTCATATCAATTATGCAAATATTATATGGGAAAGTACACATAAAACTAAACTTAAATCTCTTTATCGGCGTCAAAAACACGCAGCTCGCAAAATAAATTTTAAAAAAAACCGTTTTTCGAACTCTGAACCGCTTTTTAAAGAAATGGACGTTTTAAATATTTATCAACTAAATGTATTTAATGTTTTGTGTTTTATGTACAAATGTAAAAAACTTGTGTCCCCCGATGTATTCGTAAACCTTTACAAGATTAAACCCCAAAACAAATATAACCTACTATATAACCTAATAATAGCTTTTAGAAAAACCTTTTTGCAATAATAAACAAGCTTCTGCTGTTTCACCTGCTATTGCTGATGTAAGTACTAAAACTATCAGGAAGCTCTATTGATGTAAATTATTTTCTTATAAATTTAAATTATCAATTTATTTATTATCTTCTGTATGTTAAATAGGTATTTCTGAATGTTTCAGATAGATTTCAATGTTCTTTCGCAGTAATTTACTAATCGGTCTGTAAGTTAGGCAATAGTTTTTTAAACAGATGAATTAATTAGATTCTGTGATTCTTTATGCATCTTTGCATTGAGTTTTTATAATATAACTCGAAATTTTATTCCTCAAGATTAGCTAAATAAGAAAAACACTTTAGTCCGTAAAATTAATGATTCTAGATAATCCCGAAAAATGTAAAAAAATTTATGATATTTAATTTTCTAATAGTTTTGTATCCCTATCAAAAATTTCAAGTCAAATGTAATAACAGTTGGAAATTATGAAAAATATATGTTTTTTTTGTGCCGTTTCATATATTTACATTAAAGACATAATATTACATTTATAAAAATTAGCCGGAGCAAGAAGAAGACAATGACTGCCTTATCACCGAGCCCCGTTTACAAATTTTTCGTGTTTATAAATAATTATGAATAAAATATACAAAAATGCGTTAAATAGTACATAACTTTTGTCAAATAATAAAATGACAATTATATTAAAAATTTAAAAATAAAGAAAGTTTTGTATTTTAATACAAATATATTTGTTACATATAACAAAATATATTTAGTGCTAATGGAAGCGTTTTTTCTATTTTAAAATTACCTTTTAAAAAAAATATTTAAAGTCTATTGAATTAAAATCTAATTGAAGTAAGATTCTTTTAGAAACTGTTTTAAATTTTTCTAAAGAGTTTTGTTCATTGATAGAGTTTTTAATAAAATTTTTCCATAAAAAAGGTCCTCGATATTGAATTCGATAAGAACTGATTTTTAGATTAATTCTCGGAACAATAAAGTCCTCTGAAAACTTTGTTGAATACTTATGAGATATTTTGCTAAAATAAGATTGAAATATAAGTGGAGATATTTCATGTTTCATTTTAAACATCAAAAGTAATGTTTGGTAAATGTTTAGCTTATAAATGCTTAAGGCCTTTAGACGATTTAATAGCGGTTCGCAATAAACTGTTATAATAAATCTGTATGCCCCAAATACAATCTTACAAGCATGCTTTTGTTTACTATAAAGTTTTTTAAGTTTTCCGTAATTCGTACTTCCCCATGCAATGTTGCAGTAAGAAAGAGAGCTGTGAGTAAATGAAAAATGAATTTTCATTAGAGCTTTTGGCTTTAAAAATGGTTTGTTTTATAAAGTACGGAAATATTATAAGAGATTTTACTTTCAATAGATTGGATGTGAAACTTCCATGACAAGAATTACGCCTAAAAAGTTAACAACAAATTCCCTTTTTACATTTGTTTTATTGAATAAAAGATTTGGCAGTTTAAGTGGAATATTTTCAACTTTATTTGGTTTG